AGGCCTGGGTTCTCGAGCTTGCACTCAAGGGCTTTGATATTAGGCTCCGATGAAGGAGGACTCAGAAGGGCTGCTTCAGAGCTTGTGTAAGGGTTCTATGTCGGAGTTGTAGTAAGGGGCCTGAGGGGCTTGGAGTCCATGGCCTAGGCTTCTAGGCTTTGGAGGTTCTAGGCTTTGGGGGTTTATGGTTCAGCGTTGGGGCTTCAGGGGTTTAGGACTTGCCAACCCTGAACCCTGGCCCTAAACTTTAAACCCTGTTTGAAGCACGAAACCCTAATGTCCTGCCTCGTTCAGGTCTTAGGATTTTGTGGGAGCTTTAGGCTTTTCAAGGTTTGGGTTTGAGGGGTCTAGGGCCCACTGGTTTCTTCTCTTGCTGAGTTCACGGGTTAAGGGGCTTGGAGGAAGTGTTGCATTTCTTTGTCATGAAGGCTTGGGATCTTAGGCCTTCGTTGGGCTTCATTTGCGCAGTGGCTTTAGGTTGTTTGGGGTTCGAGGGGGCGCTTCGATATCCTCACCTTTGTTCAGTAGGTAATGGACGAATGGGGAACAAGTATAACTACTATTGCTACCATTCTTCCATTCCCTACTAACCAAAGGTAATTAATTATCTTGCCTGGGCGCCATGCCAGGCTCTGGACACGGACCTCGTCAGAGGCTGGCGATCCGGACGAGGGTTTGTTCTTGGCTTGCAGGTCAATAGCCTCCAATGTGCAAAGGTAGCTCCTTTTTTGGTTCCTCAGTCTTCGAGTTAGGGCCATCTTTTGCTCGACAGCAAGGCAACCAAAAAACAAATGAACCACAGTGGATGTTATAGGCAGTTCTGGAAGACTTCAACGAGCGACGGGATCATGTTGTTTATACCATAGATCCCCACTGGGACAGTCCCCAAGCTGAGGGCCACAATTGGGTGCCGCGTTTGGGGTTTTGGGCTTGGGGCGTGGGGCTTAAGGTTTAGGGTTTAGCTACTTGCAAGATTTAGGGTTGACCTTACTCCCCTTATAGATCCCTTATGGATCCCTTTAGGAACCCCTTTAAGGAACCCCTTAAGTTACTAAGTACCATGGCCCGTTAGGGAGGATTTAGGATTTGGGGCATCTGCCGCAGGCCTCGTGGTCCAATGCGTGCAGGTGCTCGTCGGCTGCGAAGAAGATATCGAGCCGGTGACACTGGCACGATTTGCTCATGTCGAGCCTCTAGACGAAGTCTTCGACTACCGGCTTTTAGGCTATAGGTTTCCCGGTTTATAGGCGTATTTAAGTTAAGACTACAAAATCTTGGCAGGCGCTGACCTGTGTTTCGCTAACTTGGAGCCTCTGAACCCTAAGCCTAAGCGCTAAACTCCCTACCGCAAAAACCCTATGAGAGGCCCTCCATTCATGCGTACATGTTTCCATCTAGCTATCGATCCGTCTATCTGTCTATATCCATCTTATGTATATACCTTGAAACCCGCGTACAGAAATCCTCAAAGCATTAGAGACCCCTACGACCTGAGATAGTGTTCAGGGAATTGGAGATTAAGGCACCTAGCCCTGAAGCGCCAATCGATTGAACCCTATTTCCTAAACCCCAAACCCTGTAAAACTTAAGCTCCTAAGCCAAACCCCTAATTCTGAACCACAAACCCTAAACCCAAAATTCCCAAGTCCCAAACCCTAAAACTTTCTTCAAGCCTAAGCCTATTTCCTAAACCCCAAACTGAAGCCCCTAAGCTCTAAACCCTTGTTTCCGAAATCCCAAAGCCTAAACCCATACTTCCTATAATCCCAAACCTAAGACTTCCTTAAACCTTAACCCTATTTCCTAAACCCTATACACCCTCAAAATTAAGCCGGAAGGAGAAGCCCTTGTTGGATGTGGGCCTCACGAGCCAGCTGGCTGTCGTCCTCCGGGACCTCGGGTTAATGCATGACATTGGTGGTTGTCAGGGTTGCGATGGTTTTCTGGGTGCTCTGAATATTGGGTGCGATGTGTTGCAGTAAGGACCCCGGGACGGAACGTCGGGGTTGGGGCTCTGGCGGTTCCGGGGGCTGGCCTGCCTGGCTTGCTTCCTTGCGCCTGTGCTTTCCTTGCCTAGAACCTTCAACCCGACCTATCCGTCAGCACTTGCGTTTGTAGCTTCTTACGTCTTAGTTATGTCACCCGGGGCCCATGCGCCTGCAAGCCGGAACTTAAACCCTGAAGCCTCAACCCTGACAGGACCAGCTCACCACAATGCTACCGGGACTCAATCCCCCTCTTCCTGTGCCTCGGCTGAGGGGTTTTGCGCACCCAACTTTTTTCTTGAGCTCAAGTCTGGGTTGCGGGTTTTGAGGCGTAGAATCGCGGGCTTATGGTTTGCGGATTAGTCGCAAAGCCACTGAAAACTCCGCCCCCAAACGTGAAGACGTAGCCCTAAGCTCAAAGCGCCCATTGACAAGATTTCAATAACCTTGGAAACCGTACAAGCCTACTTGGAGGTTCATGGCACTTAGTTGTAAGGACATTTATTGGGGCTACAAGTACTTATAAGTATAGTTCCCTTGTTTATAACCCTAGTTACTACGTCACATGAACCTCTAAGCATAACGACCAAACCCTAAACCCTAAAGAAGCCTACAACTACTTAAGCAAAACTTCCCAAGCCCAGGTCCATATCTACTTATTACTTGTAACAAGATTTCGAAAACCCTAGAAACCTTAGTGGCAAACCCGGAGCCAAGCAAAAAACTTCCCAAGCCCAGTTCACCCTAAACCCTAACCCTAAACCCTAAACCTAAAACCTTAAACCCAAAACCCTGAACCCTAAACCCAAAACCCCAGGTCACCCTGATTTTCGACTATCCCTCGACGGCCGCCATCTCGCGGTTGGTGCAGCAGACTGCACAGGAGGCCCAAGTTCGTTTATGATTTACAGGACCGAAACCCAAGACGCTAAAGTTTGGGTTTAGGGTTTATGATTTACAGGACCGAAACCCGAGACTAAGACGCTATGGTTGAGGTTTGGGTTTAGGGTTTAGGATTTAAAGTTTAGGGTGCAGGGCTTAGAGTTATAAGTTATAAGCCCTAAACCCTCAACCCTAGATCCCGCTCTGCAGGCAACTCCCAGAGGGTCCAGGTACTCCTATTAAAATATACAGGACTCTAGGGCCATTTTAGGATCAAGAACCTTAAAATCAGGTCAGAGTCGCCAGGTTCAACTTGAGGTTTAGGGTTGAGGGTGCCTGGTTGAAAGATGTAGGGACTACTTGGGGACCCTTAGGGAATTGGGTTTTCTTGATGATTCAAAGAGGATCCTCAGACACCTCGGGAGCATACTGCAGTTTAGTTGTTTAGGGTTTAGGGGTTTGGGTTTAGGAATTAGGGGCGGTTTTCCGTTGAGGCTCTTCGGCTGCTTGTTATTTCAGTTTCTCGTTTCTTCTGCCAGGACTTCCAAAATGTGCGTTTCCGAAAACAGGGGACCCGAATATGGCACCCCAAATAGTAGGATCCTTACTATCAGGACCCCAAAATAAGGTACCTCCAGTTTCGGAAACTCCAAAATATGGTGTCCCGGAATTGATGACAGAAGTTTGGAAGGCAGCAGGAGCTCCAGGTTTCTATTACTTAAAGGGTCATGGGCCTTAGCAACTAGGGTTAGAATTAAGGAAGCTGATACTTATAGTTACTTATAACCCCAATTAAGGTGCTTATAACTTATAACCCTACTTACTAAGCCCCCATGATCCTCCAAGTAACATACTTCCAGGACTAAGACTGGTTTCGGGCTTGAAAGCTCTGTAAGGGCTACATAAGTTCCGGGGCTGCTCGAGCAAAAACCCCCTGACCGCACATTTCAGGCTTTACTACTTGGAGGGTCGGGAGACTTAGTAAGCAGGTATCGAGTAGACTTATATGTACCTTAAAAGGGTCCCTAATTGGGGTTATGATACTTAAAAGTCTCGAAAATAACTGCTTACTAAGTCCCCCGACCCTCCAAGTACAGAGCATGTCTGTCTCGAGGGTTTGGATTCGACAGGCTTCCCCCACGAGGCGGTTTCCTATGATGTCGCAAGTCGACCCGGTGAAAAAACCTGCATAAAGCTCCAAAGCCTCTAACTTTGCAGCCTGACAAGACCCTCTGCAACCTTGCGAGATGATTTCAAAAACCCTATAGAACTTGCTCTAAAAACCTATGAGATTCAGGAGCCCCCCCATAAGGCCCTTCTGTGAAGCCCCTTGCTGCCACCTCTCACGACTTCTGATTCTCAGGCCTGCCGGCGAAGCGCGGCGGGCTGAGTGGGCCAAAGAAGCCCACTCAGATTGCGAGCTGTCGAGAGATTTTCGCAACACATCGCACGAAAGGGTTAAGGATTGAGGGTTTTCGGCTTCCGTTTAGGTTTCAGGGTTTATGAGGTTTGTGGTGGTGGTTCGGAGTTGAGGGTTTAGGCTTCCGATGGCTTGGGGTTCAATTAGGCTTTTATGTCAAGCGGTCTTCGCAGAAAGCTGGGTGTTTCTTCGGTTCATCTAGCTACCTGACCAGCATTACAATGTTTGTTCTAAAGGGCCTATGGAAAGGGATCCCGCCGGCATGATCGAGGTAACTGGGCTTAGCAGCCGTTTTTTTCGGAATTCGGAGATGCAGGTCCAGAGTTTTACAGGGTTGTGCTTTCCGGTTCGGATGAAATTTTCTCGAAAGCGTTGGGTTTCGGGCTCTTTACCGTTTGAGTCGCGAGTTCTAGTCCTCAGGCTCTGGGGTGCTGAGTGTGTACGCTCCCGGCTTGCTACCCTAAGATACAGAAGCCTGAATTACAAAGTAATCTGTCTTAGGTTTTCTGAATACAAGTACTCCGTAGCATTTCCCGAAACACTGTCGTAATGATTGAAGCACTCCCATATCTGACAGCACAGCAGGGCATCACAGCGTGTCGGACTCAGATTCGTTTGTTGTCGAATCCCCTTCGATCTGCTGCATGCAGATTTTGATCAAGGGGGAGCTTTGCGTGGCCTTGTGCGATTAGCTGCACCTGCTACGGTCCGCCATGTCCGACGCAGCTCGGTCCAGTGCTGATGCCGATAAGACTGACGAGAATACGCCGGCAGCTGCAACAGCCACCATGGATGAGCTTGGTGACTTAGTTCTGGATTTCGGTGTCGATTCTATGCCGGCTTGCTCGGTCTTTCTTCGTGCAGCCTCTCCTGTGTTCAATCGCATGTTGCAGAGTGGCATGCAGGAGGCAAAGCAAGGCGTCATCAAAGTTGAAGTAGCCAAGAAGGAGGAATTTGCGAATTTCTACAGCTTACTCTGGCCTGGCGAGTGGAGCCGTGACAGGGTTAGGGGGGAAAACGTCGACGCGCTTCTCGCCATCGCAGACTATTACGAGGTGGGCTTCGTGAAGCATGCTTGCGAGGATCAGCTGCTTACCCTCCCAGTGACAGGTGGGAGGGGATTGTCAACTGCAGGGATCTTGTTGCAACAGCCTCATCGCGGTGTAAGCCAGCATGGGAGCCCTTCCTTCCTTGCAAAATGGTATTGAAATCTAGCAGCTAGCTAGGAAGCCTTTTGGTCTGCTACCTGCCAGGCCAGCGACTCCTCCAAGCCCACCAGACAGGTCTCCATCGGCAGTATGTGCGGTGCATCGACTCCCTGGCGAGCTCGGACTGCAAGGAGGACCTGGTGATGATCGGCAAAGAAGCTCCAGAGCTGCTCTTGGATGTGGCATTGAAGATGCAAGCGCGCTTCGGCCGGCTTTTTGGACTACAACAAGATGTTGCCAGGTCCAGGGAGGTGATCGCCAACACACCATTCGGAACTGAAGGCTTATCGGCATACGAAACTCTTATCCGTGGAGTGAAGTGCACTAAAGAGCTTGCCACCGATTGGTCAGCCTGCATAACCGAGCAGCCACGCATCCTAAGGGTCCTCGATGCAGTAGAGACAGCCTTGAAGTAAGCGCCAGAAGTGCGGCCGCTTCAAAGATGTTGCAGCCCCGCCTGCAACATCTCGGATGCCGGAGCTTGCTGCACACTGAATCTCTTATGAGTCTCACAAAAGTATTTAATTCCCGACCTGCAACGAATAGTTGGGCGAAGCGTGCTAGACCTGATGAAATTCTGAAAGCTGGTCACATCCGTGTTGAGGGCTGAAAGGACTTCTCACCCAGTACGTGTATGAGATAACAGGTGGGGATACACGTCCCAAAGTGCGTCCAGAGCCCAAAGTTCATTGTTCAGGGTTGAGGGGTCCAACGCACCAAGTGCCATCTTGAACACGAGCCACTTCGCCCACCGACGGCTCAAAGCACCTCGCTTGATGTGGTAGCAGTCGCCTTCCCTCGCCTCTTTCCTCCACCTCCTCGGTGAGCCTAAGGAATCGAGATCAAGAGTTTTAGTGGTAATCCTGGTCGAGGCAGCCGGCAACACGGCTCCGACCGCCGTCTATGTAAGCAACATCGGACAAGTGCTATCAATTCCTGTCATTATCACCAGCACCACTGCTACCATAATTCTCACCACATCCTCTCTATTCTCATCATTTCTCGCCGGTTTCGGTTTCGGGGGGGTTTGGGGGCCTTGAATACGTGCAGCCTGGAGTTCGGGCGCCCGGACTTCCGTGGAGTTCGGGCTCCGCGGACTCCGGCCATGGCGCCGTCGATGCCAAGCTGCACTTGTTAGGGCTTAATGTTTGGATGGGTTTAGGGTTTAGGGTTTCGATGAGTTTAGGGTTTAGGGTTTCGACGGATTTAGGGTTTAGGGTTTAGGGCTTCGATGGGTTTAGGGTTTAGAGTTTAAGGCTCAGGGTTCAGGGTTTAGACGTCTAGGGTGTAGATGCCTTTAGAAGGGCTTATGGTGCATGGCTTAGGGTTCAGGGTTTAAGTAGAGTCAAGGGTTTAGATGGGTTTCGGGTGCCTTCGGAGGGTTTGGAGGTTTCAGGGGACACAGTTGCAAGTATGGGGAAGATGAGTCTTGACAACTCTCTAGGGTTGAACATTGAACAGAGTCGAGGAGGGGTTTTCCAGATCGAATATGTCAGCAGCTTGGGCAGTCTTCAGGTGTTTTCTTCTGGATCAGGGATTTAAACTGGGCTTTGGAGTACCACACTTTAATTCTTTTTTCTTAATGGAACCATTATGAAACACAAGTTTATACCTTGTTCTCCCCGGTTTACTTAAAAGCCCAGTAAAGTTGAATGTTCGAACCCCGTCGTTACCATCATGTCCACAAACCTTCGTACTGGGAGCTTCGTTGGTCTCGTGTCGGTTCTGTTGTTGCAGTCACTCTTGTTGTCAGACAACGGACATCTGTCTAGTGTGTTAACACGCCAGCAGCCCTGAACCCTAAACCTTGCTGAGTCGTTCAGGAACTTGCTTGAGCTGGGCGGCATAAGTGAGAGTAGACCCTAGGCCAGCGGATGTTGAAAGCACTGCAGCAGAAGCGGGTGCAGATTTTTTTTGAAAATTGAAGTGCTCCGCCCCCTAACCTTGTTTTAATTCTGAAGCCACCCACCGATGAGTCTAAGACGCCAAGATCCCTAACACCTTCCAATCCTGATGGCTGTTCTGATGGCTGTTGGATCTCAGGAACCCAAGCGCCTCCAAAGCAGCCGGGATGCCCAGGAAAATGTTTGGATCACGTTTCAAGGTCCGGGGGTGTATCGAGAGTCCTGCTTTTGTCTAAAGCGCTGCATGTCTAAGCCCACTAAACTCAAATCCTTGAACCCTCAACCCTGAACCGGGATTGTACACGTCGTGAACTCTGAACTGTATTTAGCCCTAAGGCCTTTTTCTTTGCGTCGAATCCGCAGTTGCAGAACCAGTCGTACGTGATGACCCCCCACCCCAACGTACCACCAACCAAGAACCAGGAGTTGGCGTTTCGGGGTTTATAAGTGGTTTGCGGGTTTAGGACAAGCCCGTCCGAGGTCGGAAAAGATAATAATTAATGTAATTGCCCTTGTAGTCGGTATATAGTTCGAGTTTAACATCACCAGAAGCCGTGTTTGGATTATTAGGGCCCTTGATTTATTGCAACCCCCAAGGAATTTGCAAAACCCTTCAGTCATGAAGACCCGTATATTGTTCCGAAGCGCGCCCAAATCGAGGTGCTTGACTTCGATCCGCAAGAAGCAGATCCCACGGCGTCGAGGGCTCTGCAGTTCTTCACGCAAAACTGTAGTTCAAAGCCCTAAAGCTTAAGCTCAGCGTAACACCTCTGAGCGACGGGTTCAGGCACTCAGGACTTTAGCATCCAGTTGCCCCGAACATTTCGGACTTGGTCGTTCAGGAATTCAGGAACATGCAGCGAAAACTCCGAATAAAATCGTGAGGCCCCAAAACAAGCCTCGGATTTCCATCCCATGGGACTTCGAGACCCCGAACTCGATCGAGATCTCAAGCTCCAAGCCCGAAACACCTGAAAAACAAACTACTCGGTGGCAAGTGGGAAACTTGTTAATTTCCCTTGTGGTTCCTATAGAGGTACCTATTCATAAATTCTTTTCAGCGCCCCCAAAACTACAACCCAGACGAGTAGAAGGACTGACATGACAGGAATAATAACAACCAGGAGCAGCAACCCGAAACCCCTCACCCTAAACCCTAAACCCTAAACCCCCTCACCCAGGGTGGTTCAGACGCGTCGTCTCCTCTCGCAAGTCCTCGCGGCTCGAGGCGGCATGGTGTCGGATTTCGGGCATTGTAATACTAGGATGCCCAGTAGTACCCTTATGAGGGGCTACCTTTCAAGGGATCTATGAGGGTTCCTTAAAGGGATCTATAGGGTTTCCGAGAATTAGGGGCTAGGATGCCCAGTAGTACCCTTATTCACTTTTTGTAGTCCTAGGTTCCTTATAAAGTTACCCAACACCAAAAAGAGAGGCCTTTTTATTCTTAGGTTACTGGGTATCCTAGTCAAAACAGTCTGAATTGTCATATTCGCAACAACCTTGGTAGTCGTCAGAATAGTCAGAACAGAAATTTGGAGTAGTAGTGGGCTTCTGGCCCAGAGTTCTGGGGTACTAAACTCACCCTGAACGCTGGGAGCGCTGGGCGCTACAGGGGTGTCTGACTCGGGGTTATCTGTGTGTATGTACGATGCTTGCTGCATTACGTTTAATCTAAATCTTGGTAAGTCTTTTGAGTAATATAGGGGCTATAAGAATTGCCTACAATATTTTGGGGGTTCCTTACTAGACTTCTAACTATTGTACAATATAACCCAAAAGCCTATTCTAGTTCTGAAAGCCCCTACAGCACATGGGCCGAGGTTGCTCTTGCTATTGGGTTTTCATCGGGAAAGACTGCTAAGGATCTCGTTGAGGCTATCTGCTCTTTGCTGTGGTTAGCACGGGAATGGAGTTTTCGTAGACGTGGCTTCATCAAGATTCCTCCTCAGCACTAAACGGTACCCGGTATAGTCAGATTTACTGCATCCCAAACGCAGAGCGCAGAGGCTGGACCTTGGGTTTTTTCTAACAGCTGCAAAGGTGGGTGGTAGTACAATACAGTTCTGGTGTTGAAGTCTGGGTCTGGAGGGTTTCTCCTGCAAGCTGATATTTGCACAGCAAGTACCTGGCTGTGTCTCACGAACATGATGGATGCTTTCAGATCCCAGAACCCAAGCCGAAACTGGACTCCACCGCGCTAACCGCAAATTTCGTCACAATCCCGAAACCCTAGAAATCCTTCAACAACAAACTCCAAGACTCTCCATAATTCCTCTACATTATTGAAGCTCTGCAAAGCCGTGAACCAGGTGCGGCAGGTCTTCGCAAGGCGCTGTATGTCTCCGCTGGGGCCCCCGGAACGCATCTCCGAGGATGCGGCTTTGTTTGGAGTGTCTAAGTGGGATTCAAGGTTGAAAGGTTTCTATGTGCTTACGCTTTGGGCAGAGATGGCGGATTGACATTTGGAGCTGAAATCTGAATCAAACACTGAGTGTCTTTTTGCTTTTGACAAATCGTGTGCGTGTTTAGGGTTTCAGGCCTCCTTTCAAAGGCTCCTCATCAACGTCGTCGTAAGGCGTGGCTCAGAGGGTTCACGTTCGTTTTTGATTCAAGCCGCCTAAACCCTGAATCTTGTGGCCCAAGCATCTTGTCAGCGTTGTGGTCACTAAAGGCATCCATGGATAAAACCCTCAGCCCTAAACCCTAAACCCTAAACCCTAAACCAAACCGCAAAGCTCGGCAAAGCCCCAAAATGGACGGAAGCTCCGAAGCTGGCACCTGCTGTCCCGGGTTCCTACTTTGAAGCCCGTCGACTCGGAAGCCTCACAAGGTGGGAGGTAGGTGGGATTAACTTTGTCATTGTTGGGTAACGTTTTACATTTTTATGGGTACTTAAACCCAATAAGGAACAAAAATGTACATTTTTAATTCTATCCCAACAATGAACTAGTTAAGGATCCCTTATGTAAGGACTCTTATTTGGGAATATCCCACCTACCTTCATCCTACCTTTTGAGGCCCCCGACTGACACCTAAAACCCCCCTAAACCCGGCTCTCAACTCTCTAACCCCTAAGCCCTGAACCCTCAAACCTAAAGCCCAAACCTATGAACCTAAAGCCAACACCCTTAAACCCAAAGCCTACACCCTTAAACCGAAAGCCTAAACAATTGAACCTAAAGCCAAGCCCTAATTCAGACCCGCAGTCACAGAAACTCGCCTCTGATGGTGTGCGGCGGGTCCTGTCTGTGGCTGCTGTTCTTTGTGCTTTCGGGTGCGGCGGCAAAGGGCAGTGATGCTGGGCAGCAGCGGGTTACAAAGCCCAAAGACCCGCAGCTCTATGTTAGGAAGTCTGAAGACCCATGCAGCAATGATGGAGCCGCCTAAACCCAAGGTAACAGGAAGGATGTGTGCTGTTGGTTTGGTTCAGCCTTGGGCTTCGGATGTAGGTCAACGGAGCCTTGAGGCGGAGTCCTTTTGATTCTGAGGGAGCGGTACAGCGTTGTCAGCCCGGCAAAGGGTGGTAACAGCCCAGCATCCCAAGCCTAGCACTCTCATTTTTTTGACGGTTTTTGAGCCCCATGCCCGAAACCCTTAACCCCTAAACTCTAACCCTAAGCCCTTAAGTAGTCTACACCCCTAGATCCTACACCCTAAACCGCTGAACCTTATATCCGAAAACCGTGGTTCTTGTTAAGGCATTTACGCTAAGTTAGCATAATATGGAGATCAAGCAAGAACCCAGAAAACGAGGATGAGGGCAGCTGCTGGTCCATTGGCTTCACCTTTGAGACATGCTGCGCCCCTGAGCACGGCCCCGAAGGCAATGTCGAGTGCTGGGACGACGTGCATCTTGCTTCAAACAGTGCAAAAAAATCTACACTCTACACCGCAACTCCAGAACCCGAAGCCCACACCCGATAAATCCTAAGTAACCTCCGATTTTTGGAAGTCTCTTGTTGCCTCAGGCCCCCTTGCCTAGCTCTGAACCCTATACATTGCTTACATTGTCCAGAGGCATCGTCCCTAAACCCTAAACCCTAAACCGTCCCAGGAAACTTTAGAGCCTCAGTCCTTTTTCAGGGTGCCCTTTGCTTGGAATCCGACATGTGTTGTCTCGGTTCTGTATCAGAGGGTGACACTTTTGAGAAGCTGTCCTTTGGTGAATTCCCATGCTTGGGCCAATCTGATGCTTCGGCAGCTGGAGGTAGCCAATTTCAGTCGGGGTTTAGTTCAGCTTCGGGTTTGTGTCTGTTTGTCCTTTGCGTCTCCAAGCCTGGTTTCCCTCTCCGTAAGACCATGCTGAATCCAAATCCTTCCCTGTAGCTTTGTTCAATTTAAGGTTGTGGTTTTGAACACGACACCGGAATAGATGTTTTGCCATGTAGAAGTATTCCAAAACACTGGCCCAACCAGGAATTTGATTCTGAAGCGAGGTATACCTATGAGTCCTGCTGCCAAAGCCAGGGGGCGGACCCGAAGAAGGAGATCTGGGCAGGATGTGAAGTAGGGTAATAAATAGTGAAAAAAAGTTCATGTACACGGTCCAGTCCGTGCAAATTGTTCAGTTTCTTCAGATCCGAGAACCCGAGCCCGAAGTTCCAAGCACTCCATCTGCAGTCTTGAACTCCGCAGCTACACCGCAGAGCTAATTGACACAGAACAGAGCGCTGACCCGTACCCTGTGATGTCAGGCCTTGTGACGAGCGCCAAAATAACGGTCCCTTTCGTGCCGGAAACCCTTGGCCCGAATTCCGAACCCTTGCGGCCGTCCTTGTGCCTGCTGGAAGGGTGTTTGAGACTCAGTGAATAACTTGCGGTTATGAGTAGCTTAATTGAGGATAATTTTCCTACTTCTTCAGATATCTATCGCCGACGTGTACGGCTTAGAGTTCAACCTCGTAAACTGCCCAAACCACAGACATCGACGCGACATCTTAATCCCGTCCGGATAGCGCAAGCCACCGAAAAACAAAGAAGGAACGACGAAGTTTTATCCCCTAAGTCTAAAACTTCATACAAAGCTTCCAACACACACACACACACAAATCAGCCGAAGAAGCCGTATTTTCTACATTGTACATCTTGAGCACCATACCCATGACATGCAGCTCGACCCCCTGCTACATCACGCTCTGGAGAAGGAGGGCTGCAAGAGCGCCTACTTCGATCGCTTCCGGCGCTTGGTCTCCAAGTACTACCGGGAGGGGCTGACCAAGCCGACCCTTCTCTTCTCCTTAGTCGCAAGCTTCCGATGAGTGTCTAATATACAAAGTAAGATGTCTAACCATAATGACGTATAGATGCAATATACATCATACATGCATGCATGCATGCATGCATTCCTACCTGCCTACATGGGTTTCGGGTTCCTTCAAGGGTTCCTCTGTTACCTGCACGGGAGCCTGGATCTCACCCAAGACTGTAAACCTGATAAAGGGCAAGGCAAAGGACCCCAAACACACAAACCCCACAGGCTCTACCCTAAAACCATAAATCCTATAAGCCCTAAGCCCCCAAGCCAAAGGACCCTCATCGAGCTCTGGCCCCGCATCTTGGCGAACTTCGATGCCCGGTTTCTGCTTTGCCCTGCGGCGGCCCTGCAAGCGCAGCTGCTTCAGCTGGAGGACTTCGAGGGTTTAGGGTTTAGGGTTTAGGGGTTAAGGGGTTAGGGGTTTAGGGTTCAGGGACGTTTTTAGGTTTGGGGTTTAGGCACTTCTTGTGTTTCAGTGTTTAATCGGAGCTGCTCTCTTCTTTTCTGGCTTAAGAAGGAGGGGCTTTGATAAGGGTGTTAAAGGATTCTGCAAGGGCCTGAAAGGGGCTCATGGGGTGTGGGTCTAGGGGCTTCGGGTGTAGGGTTCAGGAGCTTTGGGTTTAGTGTTCTTCGGGATGCTTGCCCGACCAAAACTCTGTAACCGAAAATCATTGCAGTCTCAGGAGAGAGCGTTCCTGGAGAAGCCGGAGGTGGTCATGGACCAGCTGGTGAGCTACAGAGTGGTGATGGGAGCATGTTCTTCTTTTGGGGTGCTAAGGGCCTAGGGGTTTCTGATGTTGGGTCGTAGGGTGGTAGGTGTTTTCAGGGGCTTTGGGTTTGCGAGGTTTTGGGGCTTAAGGGTTTATCTGGGTGTTGTATGGGTGTTGTATGGTATTGGGACTCATCGTAGGCCTAGTCTAATCTTGATGGGTAGGGCATATTAAATCGCCTAAACCCTAACCCCTAAACCCTAAACCTAAACCCTTCACTCTAACCCCCAAACCCTAAAGCTTAAACCCTAAACCCCTAAAGAACCCTAAACCCTAGAGAGACCCCAAGAGTCTCTTAGTGCCGATCTGAGCCTAAATGAGGCTCAAATCCCCGGCCGGGACATCCTGCAATCCCAAAGGCCCTTAAAACTCTGAGCCCTAGATCCTTCAGCCTTCATGGAATAGTCATAGATCCTTGAAAGGAATCCTGAAGAAAGGGGCCATACCCTACTTGGAGGGTCATGGGACTTAGTAAGTAAGGTTGTAAGTACCTTATTTGGGGTTATAACCCTAGTTGCTAAGTCCCATGACCCTTTAAGTAAGCTCGAAGACAGAAGCCAAGCAGCAGAGGCTACTCGCAGAACCTTCAGCATGCCTTCATGCACAGTGGAGTCGATCCGAAGGAGCGCAGAGATTTGGTTTGAGGATTTAGAGTTTAGGGCTTAGGATTTAGGTTTCGGGGTTTCGGCATGTCGGTAGTGAGGCTTGCAGAGCCGTTTTCGGTCTCCTTCGGTTGAAGATTGTTAGTACTTATGTCGGGGCGTTTCAGACGCCGAGTTCCCAAACTCCTCAGGATGAAAACTCTCAATTGAACAACAGGGGCCGCCTTTTGCAGCCCAAACTCTTCAGGGCCTGAGTTGTCTGATGGAGCCTATAGAGATCCGTACCGTGGCATCATCCTACCTTAAACTACCATAACCTGCTTCTTTATAGGTTTAGTCTTCAAACAAAATACAGGATTAATAGGGACCCTACAAACAAGCAGGCCTTGGTAGCTCCAGGGAGGGTCTAGAAATGCCCTGATGAAGCTCCTCAGGATCTGGCGGCGTGGCCCTTGGAGGAGGGCTTGGAGCGGCTTCGTGGTCACGCCCGAACGAAGGTCTCCTTCGGAGGGTCCAGCGCTCTTGGGGATTGGGGATTTGGGGATCCTTTTCGCAGTGTTACAGAGGTTCCATGCAGTCTCGAAGCGGTTGCACGGAGGTCGTTACGGGGGTTTTAGGTGTTGTGTATTGGGGTTTCGGGACAGTGGCCCTTTAGGCCTTAGGATTACAGGGCATTGGAGTTGTTGGTTTTGGGCTTTGCGATCCTTCGGTTCAGGGGTTCTGTGGTGCAGATTGTGTTGTTGTCGTTTGGACCTTGGGTTCCGGCTGTCGCATGGACTAGTTGAATTCCACCCTTCCGACGTTTCCCGGATTCTCTAAATCCCAGGCCCTACATGGACCCTAAATAACATACTTTTTTTAATGTAAAGACAACATAAGAGGGTACCCTAAAAATCTAGGTAGGTTCTTTCGGGTCCAGGTAGACTCTAAACCCTACATGCTGCATCTCCTCAAATCCGAGCCTGCGAGCCCCTCGCCCGAGCGCCGAAACTCTGACTTGATCTTCTCTGAGGGTTACTATACTTGGAGGGTCGGGGGACTTGGTGACTAGGTAAAAGTAGAGTTAGAAGTGCCCAACACAGGGTCCTATTTGGGTTATGATGCTTAAAAGTCCTTACAGTAACTACTTACTAAGTCCCCCGACCCTCCAAGCAAGGGGCATTGTCAGGGTTACTATGGGGTTCTGGTGCTTGAATGATATCTTGGAGACTTTGCAGTTCCTCGGGTTACCATTCGGGGCCTTGAAAATCAGACTCGAGTTTTGCAGAGGGGGGGGGGCGAGGGTGAAGGGCTTAGGGTTTAGGGTTTCACGTGCTGTCGTGTCAGTTCCGTGTCATGTTTTTTGGTTCTGCGGCCCCTCACCTTCCGGAAGCCGGGGACGGAAGTCGTTTGCACTAACTTCAAATTTATACAATCCTAAAACCTTAACCCTAAGCTCTACACTGCATCAAGAATCAGACAATATCGGACACAGTGGCAGCATATGACAGCAGTGGTCGTACTGGTAGTTGGGTCGTACTGGTAGTAGCCCTTTTCGAAGCCTCCACACTTCGCCCTATACCTCTTGAGAACTCATCAAAACTGCACAGCCCAAAATGCAGGCTTTTACTTGTACGCTAAACAACCCCGGCAGGCCCGCCAGCGCCGTTTCAAGCGCTTTCCCGATGTGACGCTGGTGCTTGGCATAGTCTCCAGTGTAGTTCCTTTTTCTAGTTACTATAGTCATAGTTATCCATTTTTAATTTGGAGTTCTGAGCATGTACCGGTAAAGGAAGAGAGACCAACAAGAGCTGCATCGGAGACTGAAACTAGGACACTGTGTAGGTGATGCGGAAGGGCTCCTGGTTTAGAGAACAGGTTGGAGGTCTCGGTAGCAGGGCTGTGGCTTTCGGACGTTTGGGCTTGGGGTTTGCTGTGCCTACTTGTCGGATTAAATGTGGAACGGTTCGTTTTGACTTCAGGTGCTGAGCTACTGCCGCGAGAACCTGCAGTGGATGAATGCATCCTTCAGTCGAAAGGTGATGCCTTCTGTAGACGTGGTGGTCGTGGCCAAATGCTCCGACGTGGATGCTGCCGGCGCCGTTCCCTTCCGGTCACTCTGGAGATCTGTTGAGCAAGTCGACGTCGAGGACCTGCCACTGCGTGCCGACGAGTGCTCTGCTTATCTGGGCTACTACTCAAAGAAGTACTTGCGTTTATGCAAAGACAGTCAACGGTAGGAAGCAGTTCACGCAAGACGTGCTCAACTATCTCAGCAGACCGCCTTAGGACCTCGAACCTGCATCCCGTCTTGATGTCCGAAATCCTATGCCCTATAGTCTTGTTGATAAATCCCAAACCCGAGGCTACTTGTCGGAGAAGTACTACGACCTGCCCCGGCACATGATCTTCGTACATGCTGACATGCCGGAGCATATCGGTGCTGGGAGGCCGAACATCGTGGCGAGGCTTTGCCTATGCTTTGGGATTTTCATGTGTTGTTCGCGGTTTAGGAGTCAGGGTTTGTAGCTGTAGGGTATAGTGCGTGCGACATATCATTTCGCGTTCAGCATTTAGGCTCGGGTTGGGATTTCAGGCTCAACTGTCATTCAGCAGTCTGTCGGCGTGAGGACGTCCGTCACGCTTGGACAAGATCAGTCCCCGAAACAAAGTCTAAGTGGAGTGGCCACACTGCAGACCTTAAGCCTTAGGATCCTGAGGATCACGTCAACAAACACCACTGATTTGGGACCCTGATTTTTCAGATGGCAGACGGGAACTCCTGAAAACGCCCCCCAAGGTTGACGACACGCTGCGGTCTCTGTCGCACGGAGCACACGTTCCTTTCGCCCACCTGGGCAACAACCGCGTCACAATGCGCTGGAACTCTGACGTGCCTCGAAGATCGAGGGCTGAGATTAGTGGCGGTATCCCATACATGACAGTCCCCTCGCCACAAATCCATGGTACTATACTAGAACCAGTTTTGGAGCCGATTAATTGTATACGGGTTGCAGACGCTTCAGGGAGACTCTTTGCTGGGTTTATTTCGGGGCATGACCTTCAACTTGAGCACTAACGCTACAAACCCTAAGTGCACTCAACCGTTTGCCAAAGGTCATGACTCCGCTTTGGAAGGGCCTCTTCAAGAGCAGCCTTGCACCGGCGGCCGGGGAGGTGAGCACCTACTGCTGCTCCCATTTCGTGGCTCAGTAGCCCGAGATCTTTGGGGATTGCAGTGCAGGGTTTGGGACATTCATGTGGGTAGTTGTCAAAATTAAGGTCCCTTTCTGGGTACCCTAAATAATAGGTGCCGTATTAAAAAAGGGACCATAATTTTGACAACCACCCATGTTTGGCAATGGCAATACACAACCCAGTTTGAAGCTGAAAGGTGAGACTTCTTGCCCCTCAGCCGTAAACCCTAAACCCTTGTTTGACCCATGAACTTGGGAGACCCAGGTGGTGTCCCGGGACCGGGTCTTGCAGCGTCCGAAAAGCTTCTACGATCAGGCTTTGAAGTTCCTCACGTCTCCTGAGACTTGGCTGCGGCATGCCACGGTATGCGCGACGTGGTAACTTGGGCCATGTCAAACCTACACGGCCCGACAAAACCCCATATTCCAAAATTCTGGTTTTTGCTGTTTGGGGTGTTACATGTCTGCCCTGCTACTTAAACTGTCAAAGACATCCCCTATCCCCAAACCCGATTTTTAGCTGCTCGGGCCCCATTCTCCACCCTATCAAATCCCAGAATCCGCTTGCGAGCCCTCGAATGTCATGCGACCCGAGGAGAGCTACTTCTACTTGCCTGCTCCCTGGTTGGTAACCCGCCAGCATCGCGCGGCAGAGCATGACATGCAGGGCCGGCTAGTCTGCCAGAATATGACCCTTGGAAGGTTTAGGGTTTAGCTTAACCTACCCAAAGCTACTTTTTTGTGTTTTTCTGTGGACCCTTTTATGGAATTTACGGAGAACCTAGAGACCAGTATAGGTTCTGGCTGGTAGGTTGAGGTGTAGGGTTTACAGTTTACGGTTCAGGCTTTAGGGTCTAGGGTCGCCCCGTTTAGAGTCTACGATTCAGGGTGTATCATTGACGGCCTCCTTAAAGCAGGGTTCGGCACCCAATGCTTACTCAAAAACCCTAATCACACCCTAACTTAGCTGTCTAAACTTTCTAAACCCTAAATCCTACAAACCCCCCTTCGTAGAGCGGCTCCAGGATGTTCCTTTGGCACATCATCTTCGGAGAGCCGCTGGCCCTGCCTCATCGGATGTACGATCCGAGCCTGCCCCTGTTTCTGAAGACCCGGAACATTCGGACCGCTTACATGGACGAGTGAAGAAAAGATGCTATGCCCTTAAACTCTGGCAACTCTGGAGCCCTTCTAGGGAATAGGGTTTACTCAAAGGGTCATGGGACTTAGTAATTAAGGTTATAACTCTAAGGTAACTATACTTATAATTACTTATAACCCCAATCAGGGTACTTATAACTTATAACCTTACTTACTAAGTCCCACGATCCTCCAAGTAGGGTTTAGGAGTTCAGAGTTTAGGTCCGAAGACGAGTCTGGAGTTATGTTGTTTTCAGTTAGAGGGCCAAAGTTCGCCCCGGTCTTCTTCGGACGCTGACAGCACCCGTCTTCGCCAAACTCTGAACCTTGACATAACCCCATTGTAGAGTCTTTCTTAGGTACTTATAGCCCTGCAAATTAGCTACTTTCTAGAGTCCTCCTTAGGTAGTCATAGCGCTTTGCCCTAAACCCCAGGTAAATCTTAAACCCGAACCTTGGACCCTATTCCCCCAATCCCAAACCCTAAACCCTAAGTCCTGAACCCGAAATCCTAAGCCCTAAGCCCTAAACCTTAAGCCCTAAACCCTAAACCCTAAGCCCAAAGCCCAAAGCTACTTGCGAAGAGCCCCGGCCTTCTGCGAGCTGGGAGCGACCCTTGAAGCCCAAACGCTGAGCCTTTTTTTGGTGCTTCTACGGTTGACGATATAAATCCTGCATTGCTTTAAGGAACCTAAACGATGGGAATAATGGTATATTCCTTATTACGGGTAATGCAGGATTTACCATCAACTGAGAAATCTAGTTTAAGGATTCCTGTTAAAGGGCTCCTATAAGGGATCTATAGGGTTTAGGGTTTAGGATGGGGGCCTAAATAATTACGTGCCTATACTATCTTGGCAGTTCCTTATTACATTTATAGTGTAATGGGCCCCAACCCTATTCTTATCATTAAGGCCGGCATATGTTAACCCCCAGCACAAGGACAGGACAGGATTTGGGCTAATTGTAGGGTTTAGGGGTTTAGAGGGTTTATAGGGGTTTGTAGGGGTTTATGGGGTTTAGTGTGTTTAAAGGGGTTTGTGGCGGTTTAAGGTTTTTTCACAGTGTTGTTCTTTCGAGATGTTAGGCCCACCGAAATCATCCCTATTTCCGCAACCCTGGCACCTTAAACACAAGAGCAGCGCTGATGTTGGAGTCAACCCCTTTCAAAACAGAAACCCACGTCATGGGGGCCTGCGTTTTTGTTTACATATAGCAGCCATATCTGAAACAGAACGCGTCAAAATACGGGCCTGCGTTTGTGTATAGTTATGTTTAGGCTTTTATCCGACGCACCCTCATCTGAAAACACGGGCCCCCAGGACGTTGTGTACTCTTTCAAAAACCCTAAACTTGCATGACCTACTTTGTTTGTAGGTCCTGATTATGAACCCTAGTTGAAACTATAGGAACCCTACAAAAAAGCAGGCTTTGCTAGCTCAAGGAGCATCCTAAACCCTAACCCCCTAATCTTTCTGAGCCCCTCAACCCCCTAAGCCCAAAACCCGACAGCCTTCAAAGCTCCTTCCAAAACTTTGCCCAGGCGCCGACAGCAGCGGCGCTGAAGCATCGTGTCGCCTGCGTCACATGCCGCTCCAGGCGGCGCCTCTTAGCTTGTCGTTCCAGCTGGAATATAGAGGCAATACCACATTGGGGGTTCCTTATTGTAATTATAGTATAATGCCCCAAAACCCTACTTAAATTAAGGCCCCTATATTAGCAAGAAAGGTCCGTTTGCCCGTTAGAACGTTCCTTCAAGCATCATACGAGGCACCATAGCCTATGACCCTCAACCCGAAACCCCGAATCTTGAGTAGACGCCTTACAGCGTGGCTCAAGGAATCTTCCCAATACAAGAATATCGGGCTCCGGAGCTGGTGGATCCATTTGGCTTCATGTCATCGTACTTGAAGGGCCAGGGGACTTAATAACTAGGGTTAATTAAGGTAACTATACTTACTTATATCCCCAGTGAAGGTACTTATAACCCTGCTTACTAAGTCCCATGATCCTCCAAGTATTCCGACATATCTATAAGGGTGCTATATCGGGTTTATCGGACCTAGGGCGGGTTTTAGAATTTGAGGGGGTTGTCAGGGTTTCCCGCTGGGCCTTCTTTGACAGAGGGGTTGCATGGCTATGCTTGGGGAGCGTCGTGTGGGCCCACGCAGCTTGCAAAGGGTTTAGGATTTGGTATTTCGATACTTGGCTTCGGGTTTGGGGTTTGCATGAGCTATACAAAATGCTGAATCCCGTTTTCCTGGTGGAAAATGAATAAACCTTGCATCGTAATCCCGAAGCCTGCCTAACGCATCTCATTTCCTGGAACCTAGATACCCAAAAGACTAAACCTTTCATCAACCCCAATGCTTGTGTAGACCCTACTGTCCTATACCGATCACTAAAAAACAAATTCCAAGCCCCTCAGTAAGATACCCACAGCCAAAGAATGCCAAAGATACCCCCACGCGGTAAACCTCAATCCTGAACTCTAAGCCACCGCATCTACACAACAACTTAAACCTGGGTGGACACTTCGGGCTTTAGGGCTCAATCTTTAGAGTTGAGATTTTTAGGGTTCGGTGTTTAGCTTTTGGGACTTGTACTTCTAGTTTGTAAAGAGCAGCTGCATAAGCCCGAAACCCTGGCATTGGGCGAGTCGAAGTTATCCACTGGAGGAGTTGCTTGAAACCGCTAGCTTGAGTCCCGTATAGGCCCACCTCAACCCTGTCATTTTGAATCCGAAATCCGAAACCCTGGCATTCAAAAACAAGCATCGCCGCCAATTGAAGAGCCTTCATAATAGGATTTCCTTTCGACTTCCTAATTGTGGACAGAAAGAAGTCTGTTGATAACGCAAAGTCCTCAGTGAAGCTTCAATACATGTTGGTGGCTATCCTAAACCTAAACCCAAACCCTTTAACCTGAGCGTATCTACAAACCCTAAACCTTAAACCCTTACATGAATCCCCGGACCCTGACCATAAATCCAAACCTTAAACCCCAAGCCTTAAACCCTAAACCCTAAACGCCGGAGGCTGGATCCTCTCGTCGCCAGTCTGGAAACTTCCAACACTTCCTCCTCATCTTCCTCTTCCGGGAAGGTGTCTGAGGACCCGGGTTCCTTGGGGGTTTGTAAGGTCCCTTCTGGAGGTTTTTTTTCTTAAAGTCTTAAGGGTTCTACAGGGCTTTGGGTTTGGGGCTTCGCGTTTAGGAGCGATTGCGATTGAGGCTTAGCGATTTGAGCTTGGATTGTGGTCTAAGATTAATCAGGCCCTTGCGCACCGTCTATTGGTTTAAGATGTAGGAGTTTCCGAAAATAGGGGACCCTCATATGGTACCCCAGAACAGTAGGGCCCTTATCATAAGGACCCCAAAATATGGTACCCCTAGTTTCGGAAACTCCCATGTTACAGTCTCGAGATTGCAGGGCGACAGCCGGAGGCCGAAGGTCTCCTTTCTACGCCGTGGCTAGGGTTTAGGGTGGCTTGGTTTCTTCACAGTCTCTTGATGGCGTTCCTTCTTGCTGACTCGGGATTTGCGGAAAGGGAAGGTTCCAAGTATGTATGCGCATACTTACCAAGAGTTGGGAGAGCGACCGGCTGATGCTCATGATGCTGGCGTTGGGGCGGCAGAGAAGCTGATTAATACTCCGCAACACTCCAGCCGATTTCTGCGTGCGGCTGAGAGGGCGACCGGCTGATGCACATGATGCGCGCCATGTTGTGCGTGCTCTTGAGAGGTTGAAGATGACAGGCTGCTGCTTCATGATTTCCGGTTTTTGGCGTTCGGGCGCTTCTCATGATGCGGCCCTGTTTCTTTGTGTACCAGAGAAGGCGACCGGCTGTGGGCCTGTTTCTTGGTGATGGCTGACAAGGCGACCCACGGAAGCTCTGATGCGAGCCTGTTTCTGCTGCTCGATGCTTGCTTGTCCCTGCAGTTTCGGCCATCGTTAAGACGATGACCAGCTGATGCTCATGATGCGTGTTTTTTTTTTGCGCGTTGGAGAGGGCGGACGGTTGATGCTCGCGATGCTTGCTTGTTGAGACGAAGGCCGGCTGATGCTCATGATGCGGACTGCGTGTTTTGTTCATTGCCGAGGGGGCGGCCTGCTGATACTTAATTAGGGTGCTCGCTTGTACAGGCCATGTCTGAGACGGCGACCGGCTGATGCTCATGATGCGGCGCTGTGTTTGCGTGTCCTTGACAGGGCGACCGGCTGATGCTCATGATGCGCGCCCAGCTTTGCACGCTACTTTGTGGTCGACGGGCTGGTGCTCGTGTCTGTGCAATGGCTGAGACGACGATCGGCTAGATGCTGACGATATTAGCTTGTCAATACGGGGACAGGCTGATGCTCATGATGCGGCTTTGTTTCTGTGTGTCCCACTGAAAGGGCAACCGGCTGATGCTCATGATGCGCGCTCGGCCTTGCGGTCGATGGACTGATGCTTGCATTCTTGCGCGCGGCCTGCTGACGCTCACAGTGCTTGCTTGCACAGGCCATGGCTGAGGCGGCGACCGGCTGATGCTCATGATGCGCGCCCAGCTTTGCACGCTACTTGGAGGTCGACGGGCTCGTGTTCACACTGCTTGCGTGTCTGTGCACTGGCTGAGACGGGGACAGGCTGATGCTCATGATGCGGCTTTGCTTCTGCGTGTCCCTCTGAAAGGGCAACCGGCTGATGCTCATGTGCTCCTGGCTTTGCGGTCAATGGGCTGGTGCTCACAATGCTTGCGTCCTTGTGCAGCGGCTGAGACGGCGACCGGCTGAGAGGGCGACCGGCTGATTCACATGATGCTTGTGGTTTTGGGGCCATCGTTGAGGCGATGGACGGCTGATGCTCATGATGTGGGCCTTTTTTGCGCCTTGAGGGCGGACGGTTGGTGCTCGCGATGCTTGCTTTGTTTGACGGAGGCCGGCGGGGACGGCGTGTTTTGTTCATTGCCGAGAGGGCGGCCTGCTGATGCTTACGGTGCTTGCTTGCATAATTAGGCCATGGCTGAGACGGCGACCGGCTGATGCTCATGATGCGTGCCCAGCTTTGCGCGCTACTTCGAGGGCGACGGGCTCGTATTCACACTTTCGTGTCTGTGCAATGGCTGAGACGGCGACCGGCTGATGCTTACGATGCAGGCAGTTGTTGCAACGGTTCACAATGTGATCAGATGTTGAGCTTCTTATTTACTAGTAGTTCAAGCAAGTTTTTGTCCACGACCAAGGCCAAGAAGGCAGCTGGTTGATACTCGGAATGGCCACGGTGCTATTGATATGTGCTTTCTCCGTGCATTGCCCGCTGATGCTTAGGATTGGCCGCAAAACACGATCGGCTGATTGGCTAATGCTCACGGCGTCGGTGCTTTTGATGTGTATGGTTAACGTCTTGTTTCCACATCCGAAATGTTCTTCCCTTCGCTCAAACCACGTCGAAGCCTCCAGACCCCAATCTACTATCGACGTTAAACCCTCAGCAACGCTACACCCTATACCCTAAATCACCTTACACTAAACCGCCCCGTAACCTACTATTTGCTTAAGAAACCCCCCAAAAATAAAAATAATAATCCCTATATTACACCCACAAGGAATATATTTTTTATTTTTTGGTGGTTCTTAAGCAAATAGTAGTAACCCTAAACAAGTTGCTCCTGCAAGCAACTGACAAGAGCCCAAAGGAGCCCTCCGCAGTAGGGCTAAAGGGCCGAGAGCTCTCCAAACCCTACAAACCCTAACCCTCAAGCTATCACCATTTGGGAGTTTCCGAAAGTTAGGGGTACCTCATTTGGGGGTCCTTATAATAAGGATCCTACTATTTAGGGTGCAATGTTAGGGTCCCCGATTTTCGGAAACTCCCATATAAACCCAAAGTCCCGCCAACCGCAGGATACCCTGAGTGTCATGCCGGAGGGGCCATTGCCGCTGACCTCTTGGCCAGAGTCCTGAGCTTCTGTCGGCGAAGCTAGGTGCTATAAGGTTTTAGATATTTACTAATACTATTTGGGGGGGTTCCATGTAATTATAATAAGTATAATACTATTTGGGGGTTCCTTATAATTATAAGAATAGTATAATATGACCCAAAGCCATATTCTAATTGTAATATTAAGGCGCCTATATTAGGTATTCGGAGGACGAGGCACTCGGTGAGGTTCCCGAGGGATCCGAAGTGTTGAGGTACTTAGGTTACGCTTAGGTTTCGGATGGTGGTTATGTAGGCTACTAGTTGGGAGAGTATAAGATTATGAGGTACTTGGACCCCTAGGGTTAGAAGTGCTTCAATTGGCGTTATCCTACCTTATCACCCTACTTACGACCCACGTACGAAGTCTTGTGTGCCTCTAAATGGGATTCAGAGCTTGCGTGTCTTGGATGCCTTGGCTGTCTTGTTTCAAACGTACGGATCTCGCGTCGGCGGCATACATGTTTGGAATGCCCCGTGATGTTCGAGTCTTACAGTGCATGCGGGGTGAATTGGAACATAGGGACCTTGCAGGCTTAAAGCTCAAGATAGGGCTTTAAGTTCATGGATTGATGTGTCGGCGCTAGGATCTTGGAGCAAAGTGGCTTGAAGTTTGCTACCCGTGCACCTGGATACGCTTTTGGCCTCTGTGCCCCTCTACATGAGGGGACTTAGACCTTGCAGCGTAAATCCTTAGCCGAAGACCCTAAACCCAAAGCCACTAAATCGAAAACCAAAAACCTCGAAGCCCGAGCCCGCCATCTCAGCATCTACTTTGAATTCCGGAAACCTGAAGTGTGTCCTTAAAAGCACGGCTTCGGCCGATTCTGATGATCAGCTTCCGCGTGGATGGCACTACTCTACTTTACCCGCCTCCTGGGAGTCGGTTGAGGGGCTTGGAGTTTGCATGATGCCTTTGCCTAAACCCCTAAACCCCTAAACCTTAAACTGGCCCCTATAAACCCTAAACCCTAAACCCCTAAACCACCTAAACCCCTAAACCCCCTAAACCCTAAAGCTCCTAACCACTAAAGCCCTTAACCCAAAACCCCTAAGCCACCAAAGCGTGCACAGGCTGGCAGCCGACTCGAGCCGGGGCTTGGAGCCCGCGTGGGAGGGCCCAGCCCAGCAGAGATCCAATGTTTTTTCAGGGATTTAGGGTTTAGGGTTTAGGGTTTCAAGAGGGAGATTTAGGGCTTGGGTCTGGGATTTCCAAAAAGGGATTGAGGGCTTGGGTCTGGGGTCTCAAAAAGGGATTTAGGGCTTGGGTCTGGGGTTTTTTTCAGAAGGAGATTTAGGGCTTGGGTCTGGGGTTTAGGGTTTAGGGAACAGGGGTTTAGGGTTTAGAGAACAAGGGTTTAGGGTTTGGGCTACATGATTGAATTAATGGATTTAGGGCTTGTAGAGGGTTCATACAGTGGCTTAGTCTCAAAAAAGGTGGTTGTTGAGGGGAACAAGGTTCGTGAAGGATTTATCGGTGTTTTCTTCGCATTTTCAGAGAAGGGATTTACGGCTTTTAGAGGGTTCATGAAGGATTATAAGTGAGCTAGGGTTGGAACATTTCTTGTAGAGTTCTGTTCTTTTAGGGCCAACTGATGTTGTGTGTTTTGGTCTTGCGATTATTGTGGCGTGTTGGTTGTTGACGGATGTTGCACGTCCCATGAGCTGCCAACTCATAAGTACAGAGTTGTTGTTTTTGCTTACTATACGGGCCTAAATAATTACCAAGACTATTTTGGGGGTTCCTTATTAAATATAGTTATAGTATAGTGGGCCCCCAAACCCTATTTACTGCGCCGCAAAACCCTAGTCTAATTTTCAAGGCCCCATATTATCTCAAACTTGAAGACCATCAAAGCACCTACAACGCTGTTTAGAGCTGTCGGTAAGCCTTCGTACAAGCTCTCTTTGCCCCCAAAGCCTGGAAGAACTCCCCGGCTGAGCCCCGAAGCCTAGACCTAAACCCTGAACCCTAAACCCTGCGAGCCCCGAACCCCCAACACCCTTTGACGCCCCACCGCCACTAGTCATTGTGTAACGCCGAGAAACCTTGCAGTTGTTGAATCCTCCATAGAGACTTTATGCAGGGTCCTTGATAGGTTAAAGGCTTTGGGGTACTATACTGTTATATACTTGCTACAAATATCTTCAGGAGCCGACGGAACCCCATTCCAATTATGAAGCCTCCTCCCTAAACCCTACCAAATCCCATATTATTGCTGAGCCTTTCAAAGCTCGCAGCTTCGCGCTAGTTCGTCTCGAGGCCCTTGGCATGCCAAGATTTGGCATCCCTCGCCGCCTTCCTTGCATCGTTCGGCTGCGTGGGCTGCAGAGAGCCTATGCTTTGACGGTCCAGTCTGTACAGATACATATAATCTCCCTAAGCCTCAAACCCAAAACTACAAAATGACCAGTCTTTCCAGATAGATATACACCCTAAGCCTTAAACCCCAAACCCATACAGTAACCAGTTTTCCACCTCATATGATACTAACCTGCTAGCTCCGGGACATGGAGTTTTGACGTCTTGTAGGAAGATGAGGGCTTGGTCGCTTTGGGTACCAGTGGTTTGCGCACGCCCAACACCGAACCCTCTGAAACCCGTGTAGAAAACTTTTATGAAGCGCTGGAGAATCCTTTGGTTTAACAGATATCACTAGAAACCCGAAAAACTCAGCAACATAAGCCCTAAGCCTTCAACCCTAAGCCCTAAACCATCCTAAACCCTGAGCCCCAAACCCTAAGCCCTAAGCCCAAAGCCTTGAACCAAGCATCGGCGCACCCCAACAAGCCCCAGCTCCAGCTCCCGAGGTGCAGGCGGCATGGAGGACGTAGCCGAGGAAGAGCTTGCTTTGGCTTGGGAGTTTACGTTTCTTTCGGGGAGAGAAGCGGGCTTAGGGTTTCAGGGTTTAGGGTTCCTTTTTCAAGGGATCCATAAGGGTTCCTTAAAGGGATCTATGATGGTTCTATGTAGGGGTTTAGGGTTTAAGGGGCCTAAATAATTACCCAGTCTGTTTTGGGGGTTCCTTATTATAAGTATTATAATGGGCCCCAAAACCCTATTCTAATTATTAAGGCCCCTATATTGCGTTTCTTTTGGGGAGAGGAGGGGGTTTAGGATTTCAGGGTTTTGAGGGCCAGGGTTTCAGGGCTCGGGAGTTTGGGTTTTAGGGTTTAAGAGGTGGGGGAAGGGGGGGGTGTTTACCAAATAGTGCTGGGATTCCCCATACATTACTCTTAAGGATTGAGGCCATGGGGTTTACAACTGTTGCGCCTCTACTGTAATGTTTGCAAGGATCTGCAGGGCCGGCGCGGCGCGGGCCGCTCCAGCGGCATCGTGCGCTGCCAATACCACGCGCCCGGAGCCCAGTTTGGGGTTCAAGGGGCGGGTTCGGTCTACTTGGAGGATCATGGGACTTAGTAAGTAGGGTCATAAGTACCCTAATTGGGGTTATAAGTAATTACATAAGTATAGTTACCCTAATTATAACCCCAGCTACTAAGTCCCATGACCCTTTAAGTATAGGTTGAGGGTTTGAGAGCCCTGCCTCGGAATTTGATTATGTGATTGCTTCTTTTGTTCGAGGTCTCGGCGTTTGCGTTTCGGGTTGAGGGGTTGAATTAAAGTCTTCCCAGCAGAACTATACCCTTTAGCGGATGCTAGGTTTGATTTGTCGGTAGCGAGTGTGAGATGTGTCCTACTTGTGGCTGGATCAATGCAGGGTTGAACCTGCAGGGGTGGCTAGAGTTCATGAATCGTATATAGGGTGTTTCAGGGTCTATCGGGTTTTTGAGGGTTTAAAAAGCTTTTCACAACCGTTTACAAGGGTTTATCACGTGTAAGCGGGCTAGTGGGTTTGAAGGGTCTAGTGGGGTTTGTAGGCCGTTGAAACGGGTTGCACGATCGGATGATCGGCTATGTTGTACGGTTACATGCCTTTAATTTAAGGGTCTATAGGGTTTCAGGAATTAGCATAGAGTTTTTCGAACAAACGTTGTGCAAGCTTCAGGGTATCCGACCAAACGAAGCTTGTTTGCTCTGTAAGCCTGGCGACCCAAAATGCCCCTCGACGGTTCGATCCTGAACCCAAAGCGCCGAACCGCGCACCCCAGAAGCCCTAAAACCCACTAGGCCCCGAAAGCCCACCTGCATGGAACCCGCGCAGAACATGTATACATGCCATTATGAACCTGTACCAACCCAAGGCAATACTGTGCCGGTTGTGGTTTCCGCTGCAATTGCGGGCCGAAGAAGCGCGTCCCCGTGACTGGAAAGAGAGGCGGGCTGCAGAGATTGCGGGTTGCGGTTTAGGCCCAATACCCAACCTTTAAACTTTTTTGGCTTCTTGTAGTTTAGCAGGAGTGGGAAAGTTTAACCTTCCATTTTTGTGTCTTATTGGGGAAGTAAGTGAAGCAGAAACGAGTGCCATGCTTTGTCTTCTGTGGGCGAAGTCCGAATGATGGGTGAAACTATCTCCTACAGTCCCTCTGGTGCAGCACACACTGCAAAACCGTTTCTACTTATTCAGACCCTTCTATGATGTACAGCTGCATTCTAGATTTGAGGCTCAAGCTTTGGGCTTTTGTCCGGCGGTGTTCAAGTTCTGGTCAGTCTTTGGGTCCGGGTTATCATCAGAGGCTACTGAAGTGTGGGTATTTGCACAGGAACCCCAATTTGGAACAGTCATCACCTGGAGGCGCTTCATCAGCCACGACATGCTACCCCATGATTGCTGCGACCTCACTGCAGGGTTCAGGTGGCCGTCCATTGCCCGGAGAACTAAGGATTGTTACAAATATTCTTCTACCAGAGCCACAACTAAAGTCTATCCCTACACTCTACACAGATCAACGGAATATTCTTTGACTGATGGGGTCGGGAGCTCTTAAGCTAACTTTGTCAGATTTTGGAGATGTTAGTGCAAGGCTCAAGGGCAGATCGCAGGGGTTCACAGAGTTGGGGGATTTGGGCTCAGAAGTCGTTCGGCTTCCAGGGTGTTTAGGGTTTTGGGGACGTTTGGAGTTATAAGTTATAATATTCAGTTTTAGGTCTAGCCAACAGACCTACCTTTTTCAAGATCTATATGTAGAAACTAAAATAAGAATCCCTAAAAAGAACTTCTGCTACAGGTAATTAGCGCTTCGGAGAGTTTTTTTGGCCCTAGCTTTTACGCGCTAAGGCGGGAATTTGAAGCCGAAATCCTTCGAGCCCCTGCCAGACACCACGAGATTTTGAGAACCTTAAACCCTATACCCTAAACCGTGGCCCCCAGCGCCTGAAAACTCTCGAGCCTGGAGGCTCCCCGGGTTTACAGTAACCCCCATAAAGTTGGAAACCGGATAAAGGCCAAATAGTGCTGGGATTCCCTCTACATTACTCTTAAGGATTGAGGCTATTGGATTTCCGATTTTTTGGCTCCTACTGTAGGGTTTCGCATACTGTTGATGATATAAATCCTGCATTACCCTAAGGATCCTAAAGTGTGGGAATACTGGTATATATTCCTTGTTATGGGTAATGCAGGGTTTATATCATCAACCGTAGGGTGACCTAACCTTGTAACCCTTTTAAAATGACAGCTTAGGCATTTAGGGGTTGGGGCTTCTCGGTTTCTGGCTTGAGGGTTTGGAATGCTAACTTGACCCTCAAACCCAAACTGCACAGAAGCCTAGCAGCCTTGAAGCCTGCATCAAAGCCTGGCGAGGTCTGACAAACTTGTAGCGATAGTCAATATGGGTGGTTGTCAAAATTATGGTCCCTTTTTGGGTCCTTAATATAATACGGCACCTAATATTTATGGTCCCCAAAAGGGACCCTCGTTTTGACAACTACTCATATAGGCCCTATCTAGATTGCTTCTACAGTACAAATCACACCCTATTCTACTTACCAAGGGTCCTCACATCACAGAGCCTTTGCAGCAGCCCCCCGTACACCCTTAAAGGAACCCCATTCCAACTATTGAGGCCCCTTATCGATTTCAGACCCCTAAACCCTAAACTCCTAAACCCTAAACCCCCGAACCTTCAGAGCCCCACTTCGATACGCCGTGTACTGATGTATTGCTGAGGGTTTGCGGCTCGAAGCCAAGTAGGCTTTGGGGTCCAGGGTTTTGGTTTTATGGTTTATGGCATTTGTGATTTGCGGTTTACGGTTTAGGAGGTATTTATTTCAAGGTGTAGAACTCCAGCGGTCCCAAAACCATCACCCACATAGCCCCTGAACCGTACCCTATATACACCCTAAACCGTCAAACCTCAAACTCACATGGGAGTTTCCGAAAATTGGGAGTACCTTATTCGGGGTCCTTGTAGTAAGGTGCTACATTAGGGCTTCCCCATTTTCGGAAACTCCCACATACCACCATCTCCCGTAGCATCTCCCAGCTGAGGCCGATGCTGCTATGCCAGTGAGGGGCTGAACTCGGGGATCGGGCTAAGGGTTTAGGGTTTAGGGGTTAGGATCAGAGTTTGGGCTTCAGGGCTTTAGGGCTTAGGGGCGCGGGCTGAGCATTTAGGCGTTGGGGGTTAGGGCCTAGGGTTAGGGTTTAAGATCGGGCTCAGGGTTAGACGTAGTATGCCCTTGCTTGTATCGTCCTTTTCAACCATGTCACAGTGCGAAAACTAAATAGCCCTAAACCCTCAACCCTAAATTAAATTCAATAGGCGGAAGGGTCAAGAGTTCGAGCTCTTGACTGAATAAACAAGCAAAGCCGCAGCCATCCCGAGAGCAATCGGAAGCGGGTCGGAACCCTAGGAACTTTAAACTTTCAGCCCTAAAGCCCTAAGCCCTAAACTCTCTAAACTCTCAGCTCCAAAGCCCTAAACTCTCTACACGCTCAGCTCTAAAGCCTTAAACTAGCGTAAACTCTCTAAGCTCTCAGCTCTAAAGCCCTAAACTTTGAAATTAAAGCGTTTAAGACTTTAAAGCCGTAACTTGAGGAGGCCGTGCTGGCCGCTGTTTTAATTACCTGGTCTCCTTCTAGTGCCCCCTCCTTCTTAAGGCCAAGAGTAGGAACAAGGGTACCCTTACGTACTAGGGTTTTAGGGTTTGGGGTAGGGTTCTGCTTCTTAAAGTCGAAGAGTAGGAACAAAGGTAGCCTTCTTAGTAAGGGGTTCTGAACCCAAAACCCCAAGCCCTTTTCATGAAGGGGCTACTTCGGAACCAGTTCCCCAGGCTCCTTTGAAGTATCCTGAAGTTGTGCTAGCCAAGTCGAAGCCAAGCCCTGGAGACTTCAACCCGAAGTTCACGGTGGGTTTAGGGTTTGGGGTAAAGGGAAGAGATTTAGGGCAGTATAGAAGCCTGAGCGATTCGCAAGACTTTATGGGTTTTCTGTAAGCGTTCCTGTAAAATTTCTGTCAAAGGTTACCATGAGCTGAGGTTTACTATGATATCGAAGCTTCAATCACTATCAATATTATGTCTGAGGGCTCCTTCATATGGCTATACTCTAGTTCATCCCAGAACACTATTCTAGTTCTCAAGGCGCCCCCTTAAAGTTCCCTTAGCCGGTTTAGGATTTAGGGCTGTGCCTCTTCAGCCTCAGGGCCCTAAACCGTAAACCCTCAACTTCAGTTTCAGATTTTGAGCACAAAGACTCCACGAAATTTCCGAAATCTTCAGCTTATTTCACCTAGCTTCAGCTCTGAATCCTAATCTTAAGCCGCAGAGCAAGTCCAGCTTGAAAGACATGGAATGTTCAGGCGTCGGCACAATCAGGTGTGCTTACACCACATGAGAAGGAGCCTTGCCAAGTGATGCTTTGTCTTTGCACTTTGGCTCATCCGAGGGCTTGTCGAATTTGGAACAATGCTGAGTGTATACTCGGAAGGATATCTGCTATGAACAGATCGATAGGCATGTGCCGGATCTAGTCCGTGTCCTGATCAATTCCGGTTGAAGAATATCCTAACCCGAAGTGTCAACATAGCCCCAAAAGACATGTATGGCATGGCATTTTAGCCCGCACACCCTCAACCCTAGGCCCTATATGCCTTAGATTAAACTGCACTAGACTGCTGAACAGGACCGCTTCATCGCAATACTCCAGGGCGGTACGACGGATGTGCCTTGGAGTCAAGTTCGCCTGAGGAGCTCGGGCATTTCAGGCTTTTGGACTTCCGGTTGTCAGGTTGTGAAACTTTTTGAGGTCCTAAGAGTCAAGCTTAGGAGCCTTGAAGGACGCCCTAGATTCCGTAGATGTTGAAAGGACTCTCAGCCCTGAAAGCCTATGCACTAAAGACCATAAAACCCCGATGCCCTAAAACCCTGTATATACGGTTGATGATATATATCCTGCATTACCCATAAGAAGGAATATACCATAAATTCCTATAGTTTTGGGTCCTTAAGGTAATGCAGGATTTATATCATCAACCTAAACCCCAAACCCTAAAACCCTATAGACATCTTAAAGGAACCCCTAAAAGGTACCCTTGTAGGTCCCTTTAAAGAAACCCTGTAGACCAGAACCCTCGGTCTGATTCTGCAAGCCCAAAAATTCTGAGCCCCGAACCAGGCAGAGTGGAAGCAGCTGGGCACTGTAGACCTGGACACGCTTTGCGACCTCCTTCTGTGGCTCACCGACCGAGGACCGGACCGGTTGAGGTTTTTTAGGAATTGAGGGTATTGGGGAGGGAAAGGACCAAGGATTCAGAGTTTTGAGATTTAGGCTTTGAGGCTTTCGTAGAATGTTGGGTTTCAGAACTTGTGAGCTTTTTGAAAACTCAACAAAGAAGTTTTTGTATTTAACGTATAGTAAAGGGTATATCATGTTTCTCGATTGAGGTTACAGATTTCAGGCTTTGAGGTCCGACCTGTGGGGTTTCACAGGTTTGCGGGACGTAACCCGCTTTAATGGCGCGTTTCTGCAATTTAGAGTTTATTCTTCGGGGCGAATGTGCAGCACCTTCTCTGGTTCGCCACTGTAGTAAGGACCCTCAGAAAGACCCCGCGATTTAGAGAACCAGCCAGCAAAAGAGACTGCGCAGGCCTCTGCGACAGCTGCATTGATGCAGTCGTCCTTTCCTCATCCGTTGCTTGTGTGCTTGATTTTGAGGTTCGGCAACTTCAGGTTCAGGCATGGGACTTTGCAATTTGGGGGCCTTGCCCATTTCAATATCCAACTTTACATGTCCCTGCCATCTCATGAACGGCACTGGGGGATGCACAGATTGACCCAGCACTTACAGTAATCTCGAGCAGCTGATCATCATGAGACAAGTTGTGTCTGTTTCGCGGCTCTTTGCCCGATCCCACAGGGGATGATAGGTGCAACCGAATGGTCCATGAGCACTTCTAAATACAAGTTCGAGTAGAGGCAACGTGACTACACCAACATCTGCTCACACCCGTAGCTAATATGCAACAGCTTCCCATCAGCCCTGGAGTAGTGGTTTCCGACATCTCAGGTGGGCTTACAACAAGAGATACGGTGTTCCGCCGCGACGATGTGCCAGGATCTCAGTGGTGGAAACACAGTACTCCGATATGAAGTGCAGCTTTTGCTGCTGCCGCAGCTGACTGCTCCTGCTGTTGGCGGTGGTGGTAGTAGTCGTCGTCGTGGTGGTGATGGTGGTGGTGATGATGGCGGTGGTGGTGGTGGTTGTGGTGCTGGTGGTGGTAGTCGTAGAAGAAGTTGTCCTCGTGAAGGGTTTGGGGATACGCGGCTTTATATAGCAGCCTAAATCCTGAGTCCTAAAGCACGAAAGAGGGTTAGGTTCGGAATGTCGCGTTGTGGGGACTAGCAGGTTCGAATGGTTGAACTCTTTGGCTCTGGACTGTTTGTACTTGCTTGGTCAGGTTTTGAGTTTCCCAGACCTTTCATGTTGGCATACAAAGCCAGAGCCGTGACCCAGAAAGTTGGCGCTCATAAAGTAAAACCGGCAAGCTGCCCTCCCGAACACCGCTTCTGATAGACACATTCATGTATTTTCAGGGTAAGCAATGTACTACAATTCCATTGCTCAGGGTTTAATGCAAAATCTTGGTCGAGTGGAAGAGCTTGTTGCTGTTGCTGTTATTGCTACTACTGCCATGATCAACATCATTATCCGTGTTCTGGTACTTGGAGGGTCAAGGGCTTAGTAAGCAGGTAGTAAGTAGACTTATATGTACCTTAAAAAAGGAACCCTAAATAGGGGTTACGATACCTATAAGTCTCCAAATTGACTATTTACTAAGTCCCCCGACCCTCCTTATAGAACCCTTATAGACCCCTTTAAAGGAGCCCTTTATAGAATCCCTGTAGATCCCCTTAAGGGTACTAAGTCCCCCGACCCTCGAAGTAGGCCCTGAACTGAGCGTTGTTAAACTCCTGCAACCTGCCCAGGCGGATGTGGAAAGTGCCCATCTGCGGACAAAAACAAGAAGGCCGTGCCAGACGGGCTTCTTGTCTCCTTGAAGCTCTATAAGAGTGGTCTCTGAACTTGGGGTATAGAGGGTTTGGAGGTGCGTAGAGTCTCAGAGTTTTGGACACAAAGCGCTAAACGAAGCCTCGAGCACAGAAACAAAGCCCTACCTATTCTCGCTATTGTAGTTCTTTAGTTTGGTCTGAACTCTAATCAGGTAACCCCCCAAAACAATTACAATGGACACTAGAGGTAAGTCGTCAAGTCACCGATTGGCGCTCGAGCTTTGGAGCTGAGGTCCAGCACCCCTGAGATTGAAGCTTTGGCGTGCTTTTCCGGAATAAGTGGGTGGGCTGAGGGTGGCGAGTTGGTAGGGCTTGACGCAACAAGTCCTGCATCCTGTAGACGAAAGCAACGAGCCCCAGAACAGCCTTTGGGCAAGCTCGGAGTTGCAGCTAGATGTGTTGGGTTAGTGTCCGAATCCCAAGCAGGATGTGAGGACAAGGCCCTCAACAAATTGTGCCAGTGACAGTGACTGGCGCATTGCCAGCATCAGCTACAGTCCTGGAAGCTACAAAAGGGGAGTTAGTTGTGTTGCCCTAAGTACACATATAGTATACCCTTCTAGTTTTTGCTACCTTACCCTAAACCCCAAACCCTCGACCCAGAAGATTTGCTTTGCAAGTTGGCGTGCCCGTATCGCCTTATAGTACCCATATAGTATACCCTTACAGTACAGCACCCTTTGAGAGTACCCTAAACTTAACCCTAAACCCTATACCCTAAACCGTTAACCCTAAGCCCTATACCCTAAACCCTTTACCCATAACCCTATACCCTAAACCGTTTCCATAGTACAGTACCCTTTTTGAGGGGCTTTTGCCATGCAGGCGAAGACGACTCCATCCCTGCCCCCGCCGCCCAACAAGCCCGCGGCCTTGGACCACGGGGTTCGTTTAGGGTCTGGTTTAGAAAAAACCATAGGTCCATAGGTTTTTAGCTTTTGTAAACCCAAAGGTTTTGTAGGTGCTTTAAAAGACTTATGGTTTATACCTGGGGATCCAAAAACCTACCGTTTGAAGGGTCAGACCCTCTAGGGTCATAACCTACTATTTTGTAGGGTTTGGGGATACAGGTAGGGCCTAGTATAGGGTTCAGTTCAGGATTCAAGGGTCTAGGGTTTGGGGGTTTGGGGGGTTCAGGGTCTAGGGTTGAGGGTTAACGGGGTTTAGGGTTTGGGGGTTTGGGGGTGGAGGGTTAGGAATTTAGGGATTTAGCGGGCCTAGGGAGTTAGGGTTGGGTCTGGCGTAAGGGCTGGGTACGGGGTTTGGGGCTCAATGTACTGTTAAGCGAGTGTGCGGAGGGTTTGGGTCTGGGGTGTCACAGGATTCATCTCGTAACGTCTGACACGGGTCGGGACGGTCGGGATGTTTGGATGCTGACGGTTCGGGATTCTACTGAGGTCAATTCTTTCCCGTTTGGGTTTCCGATACTGAACCCTACACCCTCCCTAGAGCTCAACGCTAAGATACACCGTGAAGTGCGACGGCCTATCGCACATTGCACCGTCTGACACGCTGCCATCGGCCCGACAAGACCTTCAGAGATCCAGCTTTCAATGTTGGGGTCTCTCGTTGAAGAGGATTGGCCCTTATACTTCCTCTACAGTTATAGTATCTCAGAGTCCCCACCCAAAAATTCCAAGTCTGCGGTTTCTAGATTGCAAGCTCATAACTAGACCCCGAATACCACTCCCTCGACATCGCGAAGCCACTATTCTAAGCCAGCTTCCGCAAGCACTCTAACTTCACTCGCTCCTCAATTCTACACACCCTAAGAAACCATCATCCCGGCTTCGATTGTGAGCTTGACCTTTCGATTGCACCTACTCTAACAAGTTCGGGCCAGATGACTTGTATCCCAACTCACAAACACTGATTTTGCCAGGTCCCCGGATGCTTGAGAGAATATGGCGGATTCCTACACCCGACAGTCCCATACATCCTACTTGTAAGACATAACCCCTGCACTCCCATAAATCCTAAGACCTACCTGTGACCTTTTCAAGGAACTCTCTCTCTCTCTCTCTCTCTCTCTCTCTCTCTCTCTCTCTCTCTCTCTCTCTCTCTGTCTCTATATATATATATATATGTATATAGAAACAGTAATAAGGAACCCTGAAAAGGTAGGTCTTCTCGGCTCCACCTAAACCCTGAACTCCAAGCCCTTTGGCGCCGAACCCTGGAGTCTTTGTAGGACCCGCCGCACACGAGTTAACAAATCAGGGACCTCATCAGTGGGGCACCCTTTTAGGAACCTTTAAGTTACCCATGCTGGGAAGGAACGCTTTGGAGAACCTTTAGAGGAAACTTGAAGGAACCTCTTGAGGAGCCGTGTAACAAACCTTTAAGGCACCCTTTGAACAACTCTGCAGGGACCTTGTATGTAAAATAGTTGCCTAAATCATCACCAATAGTATTTTGGGCGGTTCCCTATCATAATTATAGCATAGTGGGCCCAAAAACCCTACTCCAATTATCAGGGCCCCTATGGTATCCCTTTCACGAAGCCTTTACTAATACCCACGCCAAACCCTAAACCTTAAACCCTAAACTAAGTCCCTTAACAAGAGCCCAAATTACTAGAATCTGTTCGAACCTGCCAAGGCCGCGGATCCCTGGGATGGCTCCCGAGGTGGTGCGAGCATGGAGCCAAGCCGTCTCGAAGGAGCTTCAAACTTCGGAGCTAAGTGGTTTAATTAAGGGCTTTGTATTTGTATAGTTATGAATGCACTATATATATATATATATGTATTATATATGTGTATATGTATATACACATTGACTTATTCATGAAGTCATCTATTTGCTTATTAACTTATTTGCTGGCCGATAAGTGTTTACGTGCTCGTGTAACATATCATATACATATACATATATGCATACATACACACATACATACACATATAGGTATATATGGGCTTATAGGGGCTTAGGGGGGCTCATAGGGTGTTGGTTTAGCTCTATGGGGTTTGCAGTTATATATACCCTAGAGCCAATCTCTGCACCCTCCACACTGAAGTGTGCACCTTCATTCTTGACCGTTGCTATGCCCAAACCTAAGTCTTTAAGCCGAATTCGGTCTTAAACCCTAAACCCTAAACCTTGCACCCCATTCGCCGGACCCTACCCTGAAACCTGAAGCCTCGACCCTGCAGAAAGTCTGCGCCCTCAGCTTTACTTACAAGCCCGCAGCTATTCCTTAGTATCCTTAAACTGTAAACCTAGACCTTAATGTGCAAGCCGTGCACCCCGGTCCCTAAATCGTAAATATACACGTCCTGAAACTTACACATGCTACACCTTACAAGCCTTACAAAGCTTGTTTTTACATAACCTTTCCAAGCCGAACAGGTAAGACCCGTCAAGTCTAAATTCCCGTAAAGCAGCTACCCCCTTTAGTGGGGATACTTAGCCGTGCAGACAAACCAGGTACGGAGCGCTGAACCCGTCTCATGCCATGAAAAAGTCGTATCGCGCTTGCACACTCCCTCTGGAACTTATAGGGACCCTGCAAAAAAGTAGGTTCTAGTGGGTTCAGATAATTAATGCCAATACCCTAAACCTCGGCCCAAGCCCCTCAGCTCGAAAGTCCTTCTGAAGAACCCTCAAAGGAAGCTTTTGACGGGCATCCTGCCTTCCGAGGTCCAGGGACGTTTGCGGGCCAGGGTCCCAGCACTCCCGAGCGCAAGAGTAGAAAAACTCGGACTAAAGGGCTGCAAGGGGCTTTAGGGGTTTATGGTTTAGGGATTTAGGGTTTAGGGTTAAGGGTTTACGGGGCTAAGGGCTTAGGGTTTAGACCCCAGTGGCTAGGGTGAACGTTTTGTGGTCAGGCGTTTACGGTTTAGGGTTTAAAAAGCACTTGAACCTCGGGCGCATCTTAGTTTAGCTGCCAACTTGGCACATAACCCCAAAGGTCCAAGTACCTAGTCATCATATACCCTCCAAAATAGTAACTTACATAACTACTATCCTGAAACCGATACCTAATTAATTGTTGGGTTCTTATTGGACCCTTGGGATAAGACCAAAGCGTGGCGACTCCAAGTTCACGCGCTTCAAGAACCAGAGCGTGGTTGGTATGCCTCGTTACCTTACCTTGGGTTAGTAGGGAATGGAAGAATGGTAGTAAGAGTAGTTAAATGGCAGTAATATGGTAGTAATAGTAGTTATAGTTGTACCCCATTCCTCCATTCCCTACTAACCAAAGGTAAGTTACAGGATGTTGGGTCCCAAACCTCAAACTTCTCAACCCCTGAAGGTGAAATCCTCCACGGTAAGAGCCTGTGAAAACCCCGCCTGCAAGCCGCGCTCCTTCGCCACAGGTTGCTGCTTTGGGTTTCAGGTTGGGTGTACCTCGAACAGTGTCTTTCCCTGAGGGTTGAGGGTGTAATGTAGGAACCTGATTAAGAAACCCTAGGCCGAAAACCCCAAAATAGTAGGATTCATAAAAGGAACCCTCATAAAACGCCCAAGCCTTCTTAATCAGCTTCCTGCATTAGCTTCGAGCCTGAGGCCATTTGTGGCATCTACCGCATTCAGCAAAACACTTTGAACGGCCGGGCCGTGTACAAGAAGGATCGCTCTGAAGCGCTCCTTGGCAAGCATACAGTGTTGGGATTCGAAGAGGGCGTTACTACTTTCGCCCATGCTACAGAGGTGCTTAGATTGGTACGGAGTGGTCATGCATTCTGAGGTGTGTACAAAACATACAAATAAATGCGCACACCATAGTTTGTCTGTTCTTCATGCTCGCACGTATTTGCTTTCGATAGGAACCCCAGTTCCTAATGCCTGCACCTCTGCACGGGAATAGCGGACACTTGGGGTTTTGAAACCTTAGTGTTGTCTCTCTAAACCCTAAACCCTAAACCCCGAAACCCTAAACCCTTGGGGCAGTCGGGCCCGAGCAAACCCAAAACCCCATAGGCACAGCCGGCCCGAAAGCAGTCCACGAAAGCCTGAGTCCTAAGCCCAGAATCCTCCTCCTCTAATGACTCCAATCTTCTGAAGCTCTTCAGGTTTCGCGGTTTCCAACTATGTATGTTTTAAAGAGTCCGGGGTTTAGGGTCCAGGCTTTGGGTGGCTTGCCTGATCCTCAGAGATGCTGCATCCTGAGACGTGTCGTGGCCCAGGTACTTGCTGTACACCACGCTCAAGGCCAAGCAGGGTTGTACCTGTTTGGGGAAGCAGAGAACAACACAGAAGTATTGGCAAAAGTACTCGTGTGCTTTAGCATTTGGGGCTACGGATTTGAAAATTAGACATAAGCGAAGACTTCTGTCCTCGCTTTGAGGTTCTGATCTGCACTACTTTCCAGCGAACCTGCTGGGGAGCAGCCATTGTCCTTGAATTGGGTTTCCCGATTTTATGGTTTCCAAGCTCTCATGTTCAGGGCCCATTCTTTAGGGTTTCCAGTTTTGGGTGTAGGGCTTAGGGTTCGGAGTTTCAAGTTGGCTGTTTATGCAGTGGAATTGGGGTGAACCGCGCAGTCAATACTGGAAGAAAGCCTAAACCCTACAGAAAAGGCTGCCAAACCTTGTAAACCCCAAACCCTAAATAAGCTCAAATCTAAACCTTCAAGCTCCAGAAAACCCTAAACCCTTAACCCTAAACCAGGACTGGATGTTCTCCGGCCGCCCCGATGCCGGGGGCACCCGCTGCGAGGGCTGGGCGTGCGCGGCTCAGCGCTTGGTGACCAGACTCTGTATAGGGTCATGCAAACACCTGCATGCACACACGTACTTACGTACATGCATACATACATACAGCATACACTATGCGAAAGACAGTCAGAGAGAGAGAGGAGAGAGAGTGTACCCAAAAAGCAAAACCCTTGTGTGTGTGTGTGTGTGTGTGCGCGAGAGCAAGCCGGCGGCCTTCAAAAGCTGCCGTGCGCGTCATGCGGTTTCACTGCAGAATCGCCTGGTTGCTCGGTGCTGGCGAGCCCTTAACCTAACAGAGGTCCCCTTCTTAAAACCGAATAGTAGGAAAAAGGGTACCCTTATTATAACGGGGGTACTCAGGAGCATAGTCTACGTTGAGTGAGTCAAAAAACCTTTATCGTCCTAAGCAGCACAAACCTTAACCCCTATTAAGCCCAACCCGGAACCCGAAGGCCGAAGCCCTATGGTTGATGGTATGAGTCCTGCACTACCTGCATGACCCTAGACTATGGGAATTATGGTATATTCCTTATTCTGGGTAAGGCAGGATTTATATCATGAACCATAGCACCCATGAGCCCGTACCCAGAGACTCCAATATCCCTTATAATTAAGGAGTGTTATACCTTGAATCATATCAGGGATCCTACTATAATTTAAGGCATATTCCTTAATTAAGGGATTTTGGAGTCTCTGGGTAGTCAAGCCACCTCGACTGTGCTCGCAGATACGTCACCGACCCAGCCGAGTTCCCAGACGAGGCGGGCGAAATGACCGAGCTAGTTGGAAGGAGATTAGAGTTTAGGGTAAATTTACCTTAATCCTTAATCTATATGTGTGTGCCTCTACGGGTTTCTATCAGGGATTCAGGGCTTTAGGCGTCAAAGCTTAGGGCCCTAGGGCTTAGGGTTTTACGACTTAGAGCGCCAGGTTCCCGTTTTAGGGTGCAGTGCTTCTGCTTCCAGTGGTTGAGGGCTAGGGCTTTGGAGGAGTCGGAGTCCCTGGTAACAGCATACCGCTAAAGTCTCGATGCAACTATGTGGGGGTTTCCGAGCATAGGGGGCCCTAATATAGTACCCTAAATGCTAGGATCCTTATTCTAAGGACCCCAAATAAGTTATCCCTAATTTTTTCGGAAACTCCCATCTATACTAGAATGAACACGGCTTTTGAAGGGATAGTTTCCTTATTGCCTAGCCGTAGATCTGGAACCCCAAAGCCACACACCTGGAACCAGGAACCTGCAGAAACCGTATGGAAACTCTATTAATCTCCGATAGAACCCCCGAAGAGCTTACACAGGCTTCTAGAACCCTCCCTGAACGTTGCAGAACCCCGTGAAATTGCATCGTTACAAACCAAATAGAATCCTTCCGAAGTCCATTTAGTAAAGTAGCCCGAATAGAACCAGTATGAAAAAAGCATAGCACCGCCTAAAACCTGAGGCAAGATCCTTTTACACCCTCATAGAACCCTCAACCCTGAACTCCAAACCCTGAACCCGTAACCTTAAAGCCTCTATAGTAACAGACACTTTTTTTGCAACGGTTATAGCATCTCTTAAAGGAACCCCGAAGCCCTAAACCCCCAAACCCTGAAAGGAACCCTTCTGACAAACTCTGAGCCTCTATGGGTCCCTTCGAGAAGCCCTTCAAAAGAACCCCAAACCTTTAGTGTCCCTGTAGACCTTGAAGGGAACCCTTATGACAAACCTGAGCCTATTCCCAAGGCTCAAAGCGGCCCACTAGACAAAAACATGAGCCCTTAGTAGAGCCTCAGGGTAACACACCCTTATTCCTTTAAGGATTCCTTGAAGGGCTCATTTAAAGGTTTCTGTTATCAGGGTTCCTTTAAGGATTCCTTTGAAGGAACCCTTATGGCCAAGCCCTGGCCAGGTCTGTGGTGTTTGGAAGGTCTCTGGCGCAAGGGGTTGGGAGGAGGACCGTCCGGCTGCCCTTCTCCTTGGGGTTCCTTTAAGGGCCTCCTTTAGGTGTTCCGTCAAGGGGTCTAACAAACCAGGACCACCCAAAAAAGGTTGGATTACGCGCTGGCGTATGTAAGATAGGCGCTTTCTAACGGAGGTTCTGTTTTCTCGATCCTCCAGGTCCGGGAAACTCCAGGCCAGATTCGCTAGATGTAGGTTCGGAAAGCCGCACAACATAATCCCATGAGGGTTCAGGATTTAGCCTAAGCTCCTGGGCTTAGTGTTACAAGCCATTCCTTCCAAAGCATGCCTTTGGGTCGTCTCAGGAAGTCCGTAAGCGCAGAGTCTCCAGGAATCAAGCCTTTCCCGGAGGGTCCAGATATACTAACATCATGGAATTAGGTCCCAGAAGACCATCTTCGGTATGGTTTTTGGGGCTTGATTCCATAATAGTAGTGTGTACGTAATCTCTGGGTCTGTGCATCTAGGATTGAGGCTTTGGGTGTTTAGGTTCCTATATACAGCAGACTTAACCTTAGGATTGCATTCCTAGTAGCCTTTAAATTGTGAGAGCTCGTCTCATGATGTAATTACTACGGCTTGGGGACCGTAAACCTTCAAGCTCTGACCCTCCTCTTCGCTCAAACATGCTGAGATCGGCAACCAGCTCTTGGAGCTGCTGTACTTAAAGGATCATGGGACTTAGTAACTAGGGTTATAATTTTAAGGTAACTATACTTATAATGACTTATATCCCCAATTAAGGTACTTATAACCCTACTTGCTAAGTCCCATGATCCTTACAAGAGTTGCTATAAGAGTTTCCACACGGGCTGCTATGCTTATCAACCTTGTGCTTCTCAGATTGATTGCATGAGTGGTTTATCAGTAGATTGAGTGAGTGGGTGATCTGTTGGACTGGTTGAACCTGCTGCATTATGATTACGGAGATCGACAGAAAGTCCTAAGCCCTTGACCTTAATCTCGGAGACCGGCTACGTACGCGTACTGTTTTCTCCGGGTTCCTTGTTGTATTTGCATTGTTAGTATGCACTGTAGTTCACACTCCCTCCCATATACATGTTCGAATCACCGAGCCCTCTAAATTAGGCTTGCTCGATTGCCCGCCTCAGGATACGACCCTGGTGGTCAGCTGTTACGAGGGCATGCCCGCAGAATTCAGGGTGCGCCTGTGCATGTACGTTGGCGGGGTCCCGGGTTGAGGACTGGTTTGGACTTCAGTTTATGGCGGCTTCAGTTCGAAGGCGAAATAGTTCATTTATATGTGTCTGAGTGTGTGTCAGGCAATCGCCGACTCGAGTACTCGAGGTTCTGCATCTTAGAAGCCCAAAGCCGGACTTCCAAGTAAAACCTGCAGGCCTCTCCAAATCTAATGTCCCAAGTCCCATGGCAGTCTTCTCTGAAGCCCAAGGCCGCAGAGCTCAAGACGACTAGCGTAAGCTGGGACTCACAGAGCCCACTACCCCTGAAGAAGGGAAGACTCCTCCACTTACGATCAGTTAAGAAGCAACTTACGGACTCGTTCCTACTTAGAGGGTCATCTACTTGCACTGCTGGGGATTCATCCTTACCTCTTGAGCTGCAGGTTCCAGGCCATTGTGGAGTTCCGATTACGAAACTAAGCAGTGGAAAGCTTGGGTTTGTGGGATTTAGGTCAGCTCCCCAGAGTGCAACAGCTGAAAAGGATACGGCTGGACTGCCGCGCATGGAAAGGAAGATCTGTGTGATCACTCCAAGCCCTTAGAACTATGGACAAGATCCGGATTCCCATGGAACGATCAGGAATCCGGAGAACTTCAGCTACGTGACCTACTTACGAAACGTAGCTGCCCGATCCCTCGAGCAGGTCACGTCATCCCAAACTCTAAACCCCCATCAAACTCCGTCCGACCCTATCAAATCCTACCAAACCCTATAAACTCAATACCCTAAATCCCGAATTCTACATCCTAAACCCTAAGCCCCATAAAACTCAATACAGCCCTGGAAGAAATGAAGGACTCCGGGATCTTGTCAAGAGCTTAGCTCTCCAAAACGCGGCTTAAAGACCTCGTCGTCTCTCTTTTGTGAAAAGGGGTATGAGTTTAGAAGAACTTCGCGTGTTTTGTTCATGATTTTTGAAGGCTTCAACTGTGATTTCGTAGGGTTTTGGGGGAAAGTGAGAGAAGCGCCAGGAGAAGCGGGACCCAGTCAGTCTGGAGGGTAGCAGCGTCCGGGCCTTGGACCTTGAGGGGGTGGGGGAGGCTGGGGTTAAGGTGTAGGGCTTAGAGTTTAGGGGTTAGGGTATTTAGGGTTTAGGGCATCAGGGATTTCAATTAGGGTTGGAGATTTAGGTGATTCTTTCAGATTCTATTAGCTTCAGGTTTAGAGTGCGTTTTTTTGATTCCTGCAGTTTTCGTCAGTTGGGGCTTTTGTCAAGTTGGCCTCGGCATCTGCAGGTTCTCCCCGAAAAGCATCCAACTTCACGAACTGCGGATCACAGAGAGGGGTGAGGGGTACCAGCCCGTTCCATAGCCACTTCCCCGAGGGTCCAAAGGATCCAATAGTTAGGTACTCTGCTGTAGGCTAGTAGTTAAGTAGGTTGATTAAGATTTGGGAGAGTATATTACATAATTATTGGGTACTTGGACCCTTGAGGCTTGTGCCAAATGCGACAAGCCCAGGCAATGACGCAGAAGCTGTGCTACGAGGACGGCTGGAGCCTCAGAGGCTATTCAGGTCGGACGCACACCTGTTTTGTTAGTTAATCTAGGGACCTTAATATTAGAATAGGTGTTTGGGGTGGGGCCCTTATTATGATCATGGTGTAGTATGCCCCCAAACCCTATTCTAACGAAAAAAGGCCCCTGTTCTACTTTACTGGCCTTTCATGGGTAATAGGGCCCTTGCTTGTGGAAGCACTTACTGTAGCAAGGTTTCAACAAGTTTGCATGGACCAGTTCTCATAGGAGCCCAAACCGTACCTTACACCCAAGTCAACGCCGGCCGGCCTCAGCTTGTTTTGGACCTAGAAGGAGCTGCTATGGAACATTCTAACTACAAGGGATAAGACTACAATGCCCACAACAAGGAAGCTACTCTCCAGCCCTCAGGCTTCCTCCCCAGATAGACCTAAACCCTAAACCCTCGAAACCTAACTATAGATCCCCAATACCCAACCTTTAAACTTTTTGGCTTCTTGCAGTTGGGGAAGTAAGCTAAACCCTAGCTCCCCCCAACTTCGAAGATGAAAACCGCTGCACCCAGGCATCTTACGCATCCCGATCCAGAAGCAAGAGGTGCAAACCCACGCTCTGAAGGGTAAGGCCTGTGCTGTGGGATGAACCGACATGGGAGGACTAAGACATGCTAAGACAAAGACCAAGCAGTCATTTGAGAGGTACTCCAAGGGGATGTAATATCTTGACACTCAGGCATACTGTATAACAGAAGAAGGCATTCAAAGAAGGAAGGAGGAAGACACTCTTGCCCTTGCCATCGTCACTGCCACCATCTCCATCAGCCATCACCCCCGTATAGTCGTCCCTGCAAATGCTCCACAAAGCCCTTATTGTATGTATTACGCCACGTGTGTTTTGATGATGCCGATTCCTTTCTCATCTTGAAGCTGACGCTGGAGGTCGAGCTCTAAGCCGTATGTTCCTTGAAGACGGGCTTGAGCTCTAAGGGTGCTGGGCTCGCCGGCTTAGGAATTGACGAATTGAGGGGCTCAGACTTTTGGCACTCGTCTGCCGTCGGCTGCACTGTTCGGAATTTGCATTGCAAGGTTTGGGGGTTTGGAGTTTGGGGCTTTCGGTTTGGAGCTTCAGGGGTTCAAAGTTTAGGGTCCGCAGGTTGGAAGGATTGGATTATGGCATTTAGGATCTTGGCTCTAGGGGTGGCTCGTAGTTGGGATCTTTGCCCTTATGGCCCACGCAGCCCCAGAACCCTACGCCGAAGCAGTCTCTCAAACTTTGCGCAGCTTTCTCCTTTGCCTGGCAAGCCTTGCAGGGAGTGGAGATAGACCTGGAGCCACGGGCCACGACCGTCCTTGACCCACCACTTCTCTGAACCCAAAGCTCTGACCCAAGAGCCCGTAGGCCTAAATTAGCCTCACTCGTAGAACCTAAACGCATCGGCTGTGTGTTGTGGGGTGTCTCGCCGCACAGCGCAAGCTTCCAAGGCGGGAAGGGACTGGAGCTGAGTTGTGGCTGGACAGTGGGTTCTGAAGGTTCCGGAAAGCGGTTTGAGGCGAAGGTTCAGGAGTTCCGGCTTTGATTCGGGCTCCGTTCACGGGCATGTCAGGAAAGGTGCAGAGTAGTCGGAAGGGAGCGGGGGAATGCCAGGGTGAGGCAGTTGCGGCATGTGTGCTGGTCTGGGGATGTAATGAGCAGTGAGGCGGCTCGCAGTCTTAGGGAATGATATAGATTCTGGGTCGATACGAGGGCTTCAGAAATTGGTGGTACCTTGCTCAGGCGCCCTTATAGTAATTAAGTATCTCACTGTGCAGACCTAGATGCAGGTCTGCTACTTGGCTGAAACTCACGTGCCTACAGCTTGCGCGACCCGCCCGTGCCGAGTGCCATGCGGCTCTGAGCCGATGCCATCCGGCAACGGCATGTCAGTGTTATCTACACTTCCACTTTTGACCTCACTACCTTGTAAAAAATACTCTGCCCTGAACCCTAAACCCCCTCCAAACCCTAGACCCAGAACCCTAAACCCTTAATTCCAAGCTTCGACAGCTTAGAAACGCGAAAGCGGAAGACCGACGGACAGCATGCGGCGACACTCCACTGAGGCTTTGATAGGTTGGTCATATTTGTCCTCTCAAATTCGTCGTCATAAATAAAATTACTAGCTATGATCGACTCTTAAACCCCGTTCTGAGGTTTAAGGCCGAGAAGTTACATCATACCTTCAGCGCTTAATCCTGAGCACCGGTCTGAAGACCGTGCGGCTAACATGCGTTCAAAGCCGCTAAGGCCGGAGCTCTCAGTAAGGTTGTCCTGAAGGATCTGGGGACTCGGTGAGTAGGTTTGTAGTGGGTTTATGAAATACCCTGGGTGGGGTTGCCTTAAAACCTCACGGACGATTACTTGCCAGTTTGCGAATGCAGAGGCCTGTCATTTCAGGACTTTCGGTTGCTTGTTTGGGGCTCAGGTTTTTCGAGGCTTCTCTCTCCCAGTACTTGGCAATAGGTGTTGCGTCTTGTCGTCTGCACGCGTGGCACTTGCAATCGAAAACACTAAGTCGCTAAGCTGGTTTAGAGAACAGCTAGGCAAAGATCCTTAGATGGCAGCTTGCCGGAAAGGCGGTTGTGTACGTAGTTGTACAGTCGGATACCGACCCTACATTCGAAATATTTCGTAATTCGTATGGCAGCATATGGTAACCATTATGTGGGTAAGAAACAGGTTCTGCGCATGCTAGAGGATCAGCCCTGTGCCGCTGAGAGATTTTGAAGATTCTGTGATAGTGCAGCATGCATTCACTCATTGGGTTCTTTGTGCATAAGGATATCAATACGGGTGTTCATAGTGGATGCACCTTGGACGGAAGAGGGATCTAAAGGCAAGTTTCTTGACGGAGGGCTTCCCCAAACCTTAAGCCCTAGTATTACTGGTGAACTTCTTCGTTGCTGTAAGGGCCTTGGGAGTCTTTGATCGATACCCAGATCCTGTGGGTGCATATTTTATCTTCTACAAGTTGCCATTCTGGAATTACTTGGGGATCCAAAAACCTGGGTTATACCATATAATGAAGGGGTTATACCGTACTGTTTTATGGGGGTAGACACCAAGAGAAAGGATATTAGTCTATGAAGAATTCAGGCTTGGCGCCAAAGGCCCACACAGTTCCGGCTTTTGTGACCGGATCTCTTTGTAAAGAGATGGTTCAGTGAATACACACGAGTCGACTGCCACGACCCTGAGTAGCCTTTTTGTTTTTGCCGAAGTCTTGGGACGGCCACAAAAAGAAACCTTGGGCCTTTACAGGGTTCCTTCTATGAATCCTACTATTTTGGGGTCATAGGCCCAGGGTTTCTTAATCAGGTAGGTCCCTACATTATGACCTTCGCAGCCCTTCCGCAGCATTCGAGATCAATGAAATCTCAGACCTTTCTCTTACTTCCTATACCGCTGATGGCTTTCCGAAGCCTTTGTCTGTTTTGCGCGTTCCTCGCGGCTCGGCTGACAGATCTCGGGTTCAGGACCAGTGGACGTCATACCGTTCACTCTTCCGGCATCCTTCTCAAGCAACAATAATAACAGGGCTAATATTGAAACAAACATGTAATTGTCATAACCGTAGCTTGGAATAGAAGCCTTAATTAATAATCGCAATGTTTGCAGATGCTAACTTCCTTAGAAATCAGATCTAGTGCAAAGAGCAAGTCCGGAGTTGCCAGTTCCTCGTGCCATGTACTCTCTGAGTTTTGGAACTTCATACACTCTGTTTGGGGTTTACATTCTGTGTTGGGGGTTTTGCATTGGTGGTTTGGGATGCAGGTTTAAGGTAGTGGGGCCGGCCTCAGTGCTAAAAGCCCCAGAAGTTGGAAGCCTTGTCTTTAAGCCTAAGCCCCGCTAAATCCTAAACCCCCTAAGCCACAAACCTCCCCTACACCCTAAGCCCCAAGCCGTAAAGCTCTAAACCCTAAGCCCCAAACCTCCCGGACCCTATGGCATTCCGTCTCCCCCTAAAACCCTGAACCAGCACAAATCAAAAAAAGACACCTACAACCGTAAAGCCCTGAACCCTAAACTTCCCGGAAGTGGCGATCCGAGGGAGCTTCCGGTGCAGACTGCGCCGGGGGAGACTGTGAGGCCGCTGTGAGCCAGGCGCACGGTGAGAAATTTCATGGAATTAGGCACCACAAGACCATACTTATTGTCGCTTAGGGGGGGAGGGTATGATGGGACTGTTTGGTAATTGCCAGGAATCAAGTTTTTCGAGGACCCAGAGTAGGCCCTTATTCCCTGTTTAGGATTTAGGTTCTCTTATAATCACTTTAACCCCAGAAGGGCAGCCTTTTTATTCCTTGGTTACTCTTGGGTCTAGTAGTAGCTGAGTAGGTCACCCTAAGGGCCCTTGAATAGATTCCTAGGGCCCTTAATTGTGGGTAGTTGGGGTATACTAGAGGGTAGTTGGGGGTCTAGGGCTGGGTGGGGTATAATCCTAACATACTTGAAAAGGTTGAACTTTTGTGGCCTGAGGTATTCGGCTCCTAAGCAAAATGAGGGGATTTTGGGTCGTTTTTTTTCTCAGGGATCAGGGCTTTAAGGGTTCAGGGTTTGTCTAGGATTTTGTGTCGGCTTAGGGTTTTAATGGCTTTAGGGTTTGGGGGTTTATGGTTTTAGGGTTTTTGTTTTTGGATTTTGTTCTGATTGCAGGGCTTTAGGGGTTTAGGGATTTGGTTAAGGGATACATAAGGGTTTTCGGGATTACAGAGCTCTTTAAAGGGCTGGAAGTAATGAGGGATTTTGTGACAGGGGTTTTATGTTTTTGGGGGGAATTAATTGATCAGGGCGGAAAACAGGCTATTCACTGGGCTAGGGGATGTGTGATTGTACCGAAGTCCTTGCGCTATAGTTTTTTCGGATTCGAGTTTTAGGTTAATGTCTGTGTCTTAGGGTTCAATTGTCAGGGTTGTTTTGTTCCATAGTCCATGAAGGGCAATCTCTTTTCTTCGTCATGGGCTCCTGTGATGACAAGGAGCTGGAAAGCTTTCAACAACAGTCGAGCAATCGCTTGAAATCTTGTGCAGCATTGTCGTAGCAAGTATCCTAAACCTGAAACCCCACTGCTCCACCATGAAGGCGCTTCTTCAGCGCTTGAAGAAGGGTGGCAAAGCGATTGTCGCCAATCCTGGGCTGCTGTGTCTGAATTGCCTACACCCTGAACCTTAGTTTTGTGGTTCAGGGCCAGGGTTTGGCTTGGGGGAGGTTGGGTCTTTCTGCCGAGAGGATCGTCGTCCGGTTTCGCTGAGATTTTGCTTAGAGTTTGAGCCATGTAGATCAGGGTTCCCTTAAATGGGCTCCTTTAAGGATCCTCAGAAGGGTTCTCCGTGGCTGCAGGGGGTTATCGGGTTCGGGTCTTAAGGCTTCTGCAAGGGGTTTAGGGTCTACCTTAGCCCCCAAAGCTTAACTTGTTGAGGACTTTTACACGGAAATCAGAATATGGATCCCTAACAGAATTGGTTCTCCAGGGTTTAGGTAGGGTTTAGAGTAGTGGGGGCTTGGGGTTCCGAGCCAGAACCTTAGAATTCTGCGTGCTCAGGGCGGTCGGCTCCAGCGTGAATGCCTCCATTCACGATGGGCTTGTGGAGGAGATCGGGGGCCCTGAATTACAACCGGTACTATTGTTCATGATATAAATCCTGCATTACCTTAATAACTTAAGGACCCTAGACGATGGAAATTATGGTATATTCCTTACTATGGGTACTGCAGGGTTTATATCATCAACCGCATTATGGGGTTCCTTGTCATGCTTGTAGTATAATAATGTACCACCAAAATCCTAGTCTAATTGAGGGCCGTATGTGTGTCGGGTTCCTGGCTGCTTTGGTCGTCTTAAAGACTTTTACTTTTGCTTCGCCATGATTGGATAGGTATACATGGTACGAGGTTCAAAATTCCTGTCCGAGGTACCCGAGCCCTTCTGGGAACCCTGAGAGCAAAATAACCCTAACCCATAATAATAAACAAAGGCATCCCTATAGCGGAACCCTTAAAGGAGCCCTTACAGGGCACATCCCAAAGCCTCGTTTGCTGCAGGACTCCGTCATGTTCGCCCAGGACACTTTGCAGGAAGAGACGAAGGCCTGTATGGGAGCCCAAAATAGAGCAGGCCCTAAATGCCCTGGTAAGCCGGGAACCTAGAAATCCTTACCCCCAATCCTCGCTTAGATCCCCAACACCCAATTTTTAAACTTTTTGGCTTCTTGTAGTTTGGTAGGAATCGGAAAGTTTAACCTTTCATTTTTGTGTCTTTTTGGGAAAGTAAGCTCATAAACCCTAAATGCCCCAACCCTGGACCTCGGAGTTGCCGAAGGACTGCGGTGCCGGGCTCATCGTCGATCACCTGGTTGCTCTCAGCGCTTCAGCTGCAGGTGGTAGGATAAAGTCTCGGAATGCTCGGGTACTCGACGGATGTGCGTGGAGTTGATGTGTGACGCCCCAGAGCCCTGAGGGTTTAGCTAGGTAGGATTGTGGGACATTGTTATTTTCCTTATTTGGGTTTATGAGGGACCCTATATATAAATATTTTTCAGGGTGTTTAAAGGCCAACCCAGTTAGGGTAAGACTCAGCGCTGGACTCGTAGAGGTTTTCGGTGGATTCTAGAGCGCGGGACCCTCGCGAACTTCATCTCTGATACCAAGCGACAGCAACTTGTGCAGGTCTAGGATTGAGGGCTCGGGGGTTTCGGGTTTAGGCGTTTAGGGTTTATAGGGGATTGGGGGGTTGAGGGTTTCGGGCGCAGGATTTATGGTCCAAGCACTTTGGGTTTGCAGCCGTTTTGAGCCGTTGGGCTCTGAAGTTTACATGCCCTGCAATACTCAAAGGTCCCGAAAGAGCGCGAAGCAAAGAAGTGGGGGGGGAATAACAAGTCACACTCGTCGCTGAGGTTCCCTATTATATCTAAGAAGTGCAACGCATCCCCGAAGCACAGACTGGCTATGGAGGCTTCTATATATCATTCGATCTTTAGATAATGGTATCAATGGCTTTCCAAAGTGAGCATTTAAGCTTTGAGCCTGGTTTTATCATGCGACTACGGTTTGGGGTTTAGGGTTTCAGATGTAGGGTTTTAGGGTTTCAGCCTCAAGCCGCACCCCAAAGCATGACTGAACCCCTCCTCGATAAAACACCAACCACAAATTGGGCTCATGAAACCTTGAGACAGAGAGCTGTACCTGAAGCCCTCCACGCCCACCCCAACATCCCAAACCCATAAGCCGAAGCGATCAAACAAACCCTGACGCCTCTGAATCACCGCAGCACCACCGTGGCACAAGAAAGCCACCTGCAATGAAACTGTGAGTGACCCTTCATACCCCTGCAAAGCGAAACCCTGTCAAGCAATAATATGAGCCTAAGTGCATTCTTAGTGTAGCAAAACTCCAAGGGATTGTTTCAACAACGTTTTTTTTTGATACTGTTTTTTCGGTTCTAACAGTTCTTGAGTAGCTCAAGCCACAGCTTGTCAAGCCTTATCAAACCACTCAGGCTCGCAGCTTGAGACGGAGAGTGGGGTCAAGGCTTGCGTGTGTATCTTTTTGTTGGTTCCGTCGGGCTTGGGCTCATTGCAGGGTTTAGGGTTACTTGAGGTTTAGGGATTCCGGAATTGACGATTTTTACGTTTTGTTTTGTCTTTCAGTGGGGGAGGGGGTTTTGAGTGCAAGGGCTCCAACCTTCAAGATTTGAACCTAATGAGTTTGGGGATGTTGTGGTTTTTGGGTTTCCGTGCCTGAAGCCTAGATTGGAATGTATTCGCTTCGTCAAGGTGTGATAGCCAGGGTCTGACGCTGTTAGATTTCAGTGTCACGCACACAGAACGCAGCACTCAGGCGCCTGGAACTGCTCTGCGACTGTAGCAGTAGCATTCAAGCAGCGACGGTCCACGCTCACACTCCGTCTAAGCGGAGATGACACCACATTTGCACACGAGTCGTGATCGCAGTCTGCGTCTGCAGCGTTGCCCTATGTTGGCACATGGCTCGCAGTTGCTTTTTCTTTTTATGTGGTTTCATGCAACAGTATAGCTTCGTGGGAAGGGGTGTACCCTAAGAGCATACACAGATGCGTTGCCCCTACATGCACATACATGCATTTTTGAACATGTCCATAATATGTGTTTACACACACTCTCTCTTACATACCTATATAACTGCGTACACACATGTATACATGTTCCATACATACATACATACATACATACACATACACATAGATACATACATACATACTTACATGCATATGTGCGTACATACATATGTGCGTACATACATACATACGTACATACATACATACAGAATCATACATACGTCGAGACACCCGACAGCGGCCTGCGCCCACACATACATGCATAGATGGATGCAGGGTACACAAGCATAGGTGCATGGCAACAGTCTTCAGGGAAGCCTTTCTGTTGCAGAGCCGGGTAGGAACAGATCCTTTTTCGACCGCTACTCCTCATGGAGGTTTCGATGAGTGCGCAGATCTTTCCCGTCTCTGGACACCCGGCACGGTCCCCGGCATTTTTTCATCTTTGGCCTTGGATTCACGAAGTGCGGAGTGGAGAGGACAACCAGGTCTTGATCTGATACATGCTATGTTTGCGGCTTGGGGTTCCAAGGACTTGCGGACTGAATCCGAAACACAGTGAACCGACAACCCTAAACGCCAAACTAAATTCGAAACATATTACTAAGGCCTCGACCCGAAATGTAAACTCAATAACTATTGAAATTCAACACAAAACCAGCAATTGAGGTCTACCACCGTTTGGACGTGCACTGGGTGGCTGGCCACCATGCCACGCCTTTCGGTTGCACCTGGTGCGAGACAGCTACACTACAGTGGCCGCAATACTTCGTTAGTCACAGTATTTCTGAGGCCGCAAAACCCAACAAAAAGGACCCACGTTCACGAGAATCACAGAGTGGCTATACAAGAACGGCAGTAGCAGTGATTGAAGCTTAGTAGCGTCGGGTATACTGTGATTGACCCATATTGGAGAAGACAAGGCAGTGACAAAATCTGGCTGATCGTGGACGCTCTTACTTTCACGACGATCTCGTTAAATTTTGGATTTGTCTAAAGCTCTGTCACGAGGTACAGTAATTACGAATGAGGTTACTATTGCCTTCTTTACGGTTACAACATGTGATACAGTTAACCGCCTTCATCAGAGCTCTGTTTCTCCCTACACCTGTGCCCCTGAACCCAGACAACTCCTGATGCGGTCCCTAAACCTGAAACCCTAAACCCTGAAACCCCAAATCAATCCATGTGCGCAGGAGCCCATATGCGCGCCACGGCGAGGCGGGGGAATCTCTCAAGTCGGGCCTGGGGTACATGTTCTCGGGTTTGGGCCAATGGTTCGGGGCGCTTCCTTGCTCAGATCTTCGGATAATGCTGTTTGTAGCATGATACAATGTAGCATGGACAAATATGGTATAGTATAACATAGCATAAGATTTTGTATTGTCATGCAATGTATTGTCATGTAATATAGTGTAATGTGTTGTATTGTAACGTTCTGTATTGTAATGGTGTGCGGATGCATGGATGTATGTATGTGTGCAAAAATGCATGTATGGACGTAGGTATGTACGCATGTGTGTATGTATGTATGTATGCGTGTCTGTATGCATGGATGTACGTATGTATGTATGCATGGATGTATGTATGTATGTATGTATATATGTATGTATGTACAGTGTATTTGCTTTCGTTGTTGGGATCGGCGAGAACAGATGTTGTTCGCATCTTCTAGTGGGGGTGGGGTAGAACTTTGAGGTCCTGGTTTCTGCCGGCCCTCCGCCCCCGAAGCCACAGGTGAACTTTGGGCCGCGGCTCGAACTTCCTGTGGAGGGTGGCGCCACCTGGCGGCTTTCATGATTCATGTAATATAGGGGCTTCCACAACTAGGATAGGGTTCTGGGGTACATCATACAAGAACAACATTAAGGACCCCCCCACAACAGTATTGGTACATCGGAATCAAGGGAACGTGAGGGTTCTGAATAATGCGTAACATTTGTTTTTCGGATTTCGGCTTCAGAACTCACACCGGACGTTACCCCTCCGGACACGACATGCAAGGCGATAGTGCCTCCGACATTTAGGGCGGCCCTGCCGAAGCTATGACATTTTAAGAGCACGAACCATGATAACGCCCGTGCTTCAGTGCGGCCGACAAGAAGAGGATCCATGCCCGAACTGTGATACCGTCCCTGGTCTAGTGCAGCCGAAGAGAACCGTAGAAAGCTGAGTCTAGGGGAAACCTAGGGACCTAGACCCCAAAGGCGCAGCTCGCATGGTGCACAGTCCTGGCCGGCAGCACCAGCGTTCATCTCATGGAGCCTCTTCTTTGGGGCTGTTTAAGGGGGTTCGGGATACTGTTGATGATATAAATCCTGCATTACCCATAATAAGGAATATCCCATAATTCTCATAGTTTAGGGTCCTTAAGGTCATGCAGGATTTATATCATCAAGCGTATGGTTTTAGTTTTAGGGTCTAGGATTGAGGGTTCAGGCCTGAGTCACTGAGGGTTAAGGGTTTCGGGTTTGTGAGATTGTTTGGGGCTGAAAGGGTTTGGCGTCTCCGGGGTTAAGGGTGAGGATTATATGGATTTTGGGGAGGGGTTCGGTGTTTATGGTCCGCAAAGATTGAAGGTTTCAGGAGAGTTTCATCGATTTTAGCGGGTACATTGGGTTGAGGGAAGGATTTCAGGGTTTTGGACATGTAGACATATAAGCCCTACACGAGTCTACTTCCAGCGTGCTTACTATGGCCCTGCTGCCCACATCTTCCAAAGATCCCTTAATTGAGGAATGCTCTAGATCAGATTAGGGATGCTACCAGTATTGAATAGGGTACCAATTATGTCTTCCTTAGTTAAGGGATATTTGAAGATCTGGGCACCTTAAACCATAATCCCGTAAACCCCCAAGCCTGAGCTGCTGAATCCTGAAAGGCGGACAAGCCACAAATCCTGAATCTGACAGCCTGTATGCTTGGAGGGTAGGGGAACTTAGTACGTAGTTTGTTCATAGACTTTATAGACATATAAGGCATATAAGTATCATAACCCCAATTAGTGTCCCCTTTAAGGTACTTAAAAGTCTATTTAAAATTAGTATCTACTTACTAAGTCCCCCGACCCTCCAAGACTTGAACTGAAAAGCCGAAAACGTTGATGCCCGAACGCTGCGGCTAAAGTGGCTCCTTGCTTCCTGCAGAACGGCTTTAGGGTTTAGGGTTTGCCTTTAAACTTGCATCGGCCTGTTCGACCCTGGAATTGCGGACACGGCACAAGTTCCTGATTACACATTATATGTGTGTGTATATATATATATATGTATATTTATTGTATAGCGTGTATTGTAGTTGTATTCTGAATTCTGTATTATATATTAAAGTACAGCCCGAAGCACCCTGAAGCCCATCCGAAGCTGTGAGAACAGGAGTTGGCACGCCGCGAGGGTCACGAGAAAGTCCGGCACCACGGCCAAAAAGGAGTCTCAAGTGTGTTATACTGTTGATGGGCAAAATCCTGCATGACCCTAAGGACTGTAAGCTATGGGAACTATGGTATATTCCTCATAATGGATAATGCAGGATTTTGTCCATCAGCAGTACAAGCCTACCCCCAACTAACAGTACTTGGACCTCTTTGCAGGAATCTTTAGACAAGAAAATCAGAATAAGGAGCCTTAAACAGGTAGATCTTACAGGTTTCAGGAAGCCTTGTCTGGAAGAACAGCGGCAAGGCATCACCGGTGAGAATGGCAGAAGCACCCTAAAGACCTCAAGTGCAAAATCATCAATCAGCCCCAACACCTTGCGAAGATGTTCAGAATGGCTGTAGCCCCCAAACCCACGGACGACAAAGAGCCCTACTGACAAAAGTTTTCGCATAGCCTCTAAAGCACTAAACCCTTTCAGTAACACATCTCCAACCCTCAGATAACCCTGAACCCTACGGGAGACCTAGTATAGAAGCTTACTGAAGAAGTAGTAAGTATACTTATACTATACAGGAGCCCAAAACCCTACTCTAATTATTCATGCCCCCCGAACCCTATATACCCTGAATCCTAAACCCCTAGAGCCCCAATTCCCATAAACCCTAAACCCTATAAGTCCTAAATCCCTAAACCTACCAAACCCCTATATACACCCTAAACCCACAAAACCTCTACACCCTAAACCCACAAAACCCTTACACCCTAAACCCGAGACCCTGAACCCTATGGGAGACCTAGGCAGTACCATCAGATGCTCGGCTACCTTGGCGACTCCCAGGGAAAGGAGCGGAACTTCGACCGACAGCAGGAAGTCAGGACGGCAGAGGGGGGAAGTTAGGGTTTAGGGTCGAGCAGTTAGGGTTTAGGGTTTTAGGGTCGAGGGTTTAGGGTTTAGGGTTTAGGGTCGAGGATGTAGGGTTTAGGGTTGGTCGAGGATTTGGGGTTTGGGGCGTCTTCTTGCGCAGTGGCCGATAGTCCATGCGAAGATGGCGTCACCTCACACCAGGATTTGTGGTGGCAGCGGCAGGCCTCCAGCACCCAAACCGCCCAGTTTAGGGGATGTATAAGTGCTCTTGTAAGGGCTCTAGAAGGGTATAAGGGTTCAGCTAGGGTTTCAGGGTTTGGATTGGTTTCGGGTGATTTAGGGTTTACGGTTCCGTGCCTGAGTGCCTAGGGCTTTTCGGCTCTAAGGCTTACGGCCAAGGTGCTTGAGGGTTTTTTAAGGACTTGAGGAACCCCCATAGAACCTTATGAGTCGCCCCTTAAGGAGTTCGTTCTTAAACCTTCTTAAGGAACCCCCCCCAACCCACACATCCCGAGAGAGTTGGGACAGGACTGCGAGCTGCGGCCAGCTCCCAGCCGAGTACAACCTGCGGACGGATCCAGTGGCCTGGCTTCGAAGAGCTCAGAAACGACGAATTTTATGGGGCTTGCTGCCTAAACCCTAAACTCTCCATAGGGTTCAGGGCCCAGAAGCAGGTTTTTTGAGCCTTGGTGTGGTAGGGTTTGCAGAAACGACTTTGGGAGATGAATTATATAGAGGATTCTAGGTATGATTCAAGGTACCCAAGGTCCCCAAACCCTCCACCCTAAACCCCGAGAAACTGTAAACCCCAACACCTGAAACTCCAAACCCTAAGCTATTGGTACCCAAGGCCCATGCGAGCTGCTTCGATTCCGGAGCAGTGACGAACCAGGCTTGGTTTGAGTTTCAGGGTTTCGGGATGAGGGGTTGGGGTGTAGGGTTTAGGGGTTTGTGGGTTTAGGGGTTTGGGGGTTTGGGGGTTTAAAGCTTTTAAGGTGTCGGTGTAAGGTCTAGGTTTCAAGGTCTGGGGTTAGGCATTAGGATTTGAGGTTCGGGGTTCAGAGTTGGGGGTTTAGGGCTAGGTAAGGACATTCGGGGTCTTGGGGTTTAGGGGGGTTGAGGGTAGCCTGCAGATAGGCTTGCGTGCCCACAGCTCGAGACCAACAGTTTGAGGGATACTCAGAACCCCGCATGCGGCCGTGTTCTTTCACAAGTTTTCGGTCGGGCAATTCCGCAAAGTTTGTGAAAAATGCTAACCTTTACCTAAACTCGCCTTTCCCGAGAAGGTGCATATGTGGTGGCTTTTTGTTGGTTCAGTCTCGTGTCATGGTCTGGTGGGTGATGTCAAAATCTCCGTGGCAATGAAAAGCATACAGTAGAAACCCAAAAGTTGGAAACCCAACAGCCTCAACCCTTGAGAGCAATGTATAGGGAATCCCAACACTAGTTGTCCTTATCCGGTTTCCAAATGGCTGGGGTTTACTAGAGAGTGCGCCTCCTATATAAGATTTCTGTGGGCATCTATATGCCAAGGAAGCCGATACTCGTCTTTTTCTGGTTTTCAATACGTCCAAGGATCTCAGCCCCAAGCCCTGCAACCTAAATTTTACTCGAAGCCCTGAAATCACTTAAAACTCATATCTTAAAGCTCACACCCTGAATTTAGATATCCTAATCCCTATAACTATACACCCTAAGATTGAAATCTTGAAGCAGCGGCCTGAGCCGCAAGGGTGGATGCGGATCTTGCTGGGCCTTTGCAGCTGCCCATGCGATGAATGGACGGCTTTGTCAGCAGGTGGGCGGAGTCAGCGGTTTAGGGTTTACCTTAACCCCAAATAACCCCTACCTTTGAAGGACTTATATACGGAAATCAACATAGGCTACCCTAACAAAGGAAGGTTTTATATGGCCCAGGTTGGGGGTTCAGGCTTTAGAGTTTAAGGGCCCGTGTTGCCTTTGAAGGCTTCTTTGGAGGGTTTTCATGGGGTGACACTACAGGGCTTTATTTTCCAGAGGGTCCATATATACTACCACTATGGAATTAGGTCCCAAAAGACCATCCCTATTCCGGCTTTCAGGGCCTCATTCTATAATTGTTTCATATATGGATTCTCTAGGTTTGGGTGGTATTTTATGCGGTTCACTATGGGGCTTCGTGTGCTTACACCTTTGCTTTTAATACTTTTGCCTGAAACCAAATCCGAAATCTATACTATATAGGTACATGGACCTCCAAGCCACCAGAGCCTGTCTCACCAAGGAAAACCACAGAACAGCCATCGACATGCTGGAAGTGCACGGTCCAGAATCCAGAAACGAAGGAATTCAGTTTACGACCCAAGACAGATACCATAGTTACTAGGCGCCCGATGCTAAGGACTCCAAGGGAAGGGATCCACCCGAGATGCAGTAAGGCCCAGGTGGAAAGTCCCTGGCTGTAAAGCCTCACTGCTCCTTGTACCCTGCACTCAAGACGCTTCATGTGCTCTACCAGACTCAAACTACTATCTTACTAGATTCATCAGCCACAACAAAGCAGGACCAGGCCGACATCAACAGCAACAGTGACGGTCTGGGCCGGCGATTCGTCAGTGTGCAGGTGGGGCATGCGAGTTTGCCATGTTTTTGTTGTTAGCGGGCGCGGTGGTCTTCCAACAAAGCCGAAGCTGCTCATTATTGGAGTCTTTATCCGGGTCCCTCTTTCCTCTGACATTCCCATGCTTCTTGCGAAACACTAAAGCAAGAGGCTTCCTTTGGTTTTTATTGTCACACGGAGAGCCCAATGCCCCTTAATCCAAAGAAGTGCACAGGACACTTTGATGTGTGATGAAAGGAGTTTGTCTGGCAGAGCAGAAGCCCGGAAACGTCTGCACGCCTAAACTTCAGCAAGCCCTACAACCCCTACACCCTAACCGCCAGATATCCCAGACAGCTGCAGCCCACCGACCCCCTGACGCGTTGTCCATGAAGACGCAAGCCCTGTCCAGTTGAAACGCCTGGTCTCGACGCTCCGCGACTTTGAAAGACCCTAGATTTCCTTGCAAGCCCGAAGGGTCCTATGTTCCTAAACAGGGGATACTTACCCAAATCCTAGTAGCAACTAGAATACAAAGCCTACACTCGAATAATGTAGGTACTTAGGACCCTTGGGAAGTAGAGGCCAGAAATTGGAACGTCATTCGCCTCACGCCCTCAAGGAGAAGCAAAAGGGGATCGCACTGATCATCCGTGAGCCATCTTCGAACTTTCTGGGGCCTACGGTGAAAAAAGTTACTTGTCGTATGTAGCACATAAGCTACGTACAAATATAGCCCGGTAACCCATCCTCACAGTCTAAACGTAGGTATCACACTAGGACCTCAGGCCCCACGGTTTCCATGTCCAACAAACCATTCAGAGTATGGATTTGGGAACCTAAAACCCTACAATTTGGCTACTTGAGCCCCTCTGAGTAACAGATTGAATTCCCACAGATTCCGCGTGGAAGCAGCTCTGACATCCTGAAAGGCAGTCCTTGGCTGCAGCACATCCGGCCAGGCGAACTTTAGGGCTTTGGCTTGGTGTAGGCTTTTGGGTCTCAGCTTTAGAGGGTTTTGGGGTGCCGTGTAGGGTTTTGAGTTTAGACATTAGAGGGTTTGGGCTCAAAACCCGCATGGTTTATCATAAGCCGCTGCTCCGCATATCCAATTCGGGACGAAGGTAGTGCGGTCCCTGAAGTATTCGGATAGAAGCTGCTTCTTCTAGCTCAGTGCCGCGCACACCTGCGGGACGGGATTGGGGCTTCTGGGCTGGATGGTGCTCTAAGTCCCGCGGAAGACGGCTGAGTGTAATGTGCGAGCATGAGCATTTAGTAAAACTGTTCCTTCGGGTGCCTCCTTAGTACAGTTACGGTGTACAGCCTACTGTATCATGTCCCCCCATATTCTACTCTAACTATTGAGTCCTCTGTTATTGCAACTTTGGGTTAATGTAGGGACCTAAATAATTACCATCTGGGCGGTTCCTTTTTATAAGTGTAGTATCATGGGCACCCAAAACCCTTTTATTCAGGCCCCTATAAATTAGGGTTTCGAAGTCGCGGCCGTCAGGGCTGCGATGGTGGCTGGATGTCGAATGCTTTCAACGAGTGGGCAGCTTTTCTCGGATTCAGCTTGGGGAGCCCTTGGGGGGTCTTAAAGGGTTTAGGGCAAGGTTTTGAGGTTTAGGGTTTATAGGGTTAAGGGTATTAAGGTTTAGGGTTTAGGGATTAGGGTTCAAGGTCTAGGGTTTTAGAGGGTTGAAGGTCCAGGGTTTAGGGTTTGGTCACGGGTGTAGAAAAGGCCCAGGGATTTCGGAGTCGTGAGTAAAAGCAGTCACGTGACTGGCTGATGAGCTGCCTTTGTTGCCAGAAGGAACCCTGGAATTCCTAAGCTCGATTCGCTAGTTCGGTGTCGTGCCTGAACTTGGACTCGAATCCTCAGGGCTCTGATCTGGCTATAGAACTCCGACAATGTATGGGTCTTAAAACTTAGTTATCTAACCATTGATATATGGGAGCTAGGGAGCCAGGGATGATGATAATCCCTATTAAATAAGGAGCTAAAGAGCCAAGGAAGCCCCCAAAACCACTGGTTAGTCATAGTATAGCCATCTTATATGACCATGATTCTGTAAAATGCTCCCAATCGAGCCAAACCCGATTCTACTTCTTCGGCCACTGCGTTACTCCATCCCCCCGCCTGACAATCGAAGCCCAGGAAAGCGAAGCCCCCCGGCACCAACTTCGAACTTCACCCGAAGCCTTGCTGGCCTTGCTCCAAAAGCTTAAATGCAACTTCTCCACAATACAGGATTCCGATATGGAACGTAAACTCTAAACCCTATGCCGTGCCCTAAACGCTCAACGCTAAAGCTGACGGAGTGAAGTCCCTGCTCCCCAAACTGCAGGAGACTCCTCAGACCGATGTAGTACTAGAAAGACCCGTATACTAGTCCACTTCTTGGTGGCCCTATGTTCGCCAACGAAAAACAAGTCCCTAAGCCCTAGACCCCGAAGCATTAAAGACCCAGAAGCCTCCAACAGGAGATTGGTGGTGCACCCCTGGACCGGGACTACAGCTGCTTGGCTCGTTGTTTTCTGGTGGGGCTGCTGTGTGTTTTTTTGTTGGGTTTTGTGTGTTTTTTACGGCTTTTATGAGGTTCTTACAGGGCTTCAAAGGGGCCTATAGTGGATTTTTCAGTGTCTTGCAAGCTTAAGGCTGGCATTTACGGCTTTCTAAGTTGCTGTATTGCTCGTGACAAGGCCCCGCCCCAAATCAGAAGCCAGCTCCGAAACTGTACAGCGAAAAAACAGACCCTAGCTAAACCCTAAAACTCACACCGTAGCCCAAAACTCCTAACTTCCAAACTCCCCAACACCCCAAAACAGCCTAACCAAAACCCTCACGAACGCCCGCGAAGCCAAGGCTACCACCCCACGGGCGGAGGTCAGCCCTGGGATTCCCTGGGAAGGCCCTGCCAGTGCCTTGGCTTTAGAGTGTTTTGTTGATGTTGGGGGGGGGTTCAGGGTTTAGAGGTTTAGGGGTTTCGGGGTTTAGAGGGTTGTGGTGGCTTCAGGGTTTAAGGATTTCATGGTCAAGGATTTCGGCCCGATAAGTCTTTTAGGGTTTAACGGTTTCAGGGGTTTCAGAGTTTTCGGGGTTTTGAGATGTAGGGTGGTTCGGGGTCCGAACGGGTTTGACGGTTTGTGGGTATGTTTGATCTGACGGGTGGCAGAGTGGGGAGGAAGCACCCGCTCCGGGACTTATTATAGGGCTCGTCAAGTCAAGGGGCACCCACCAGGAGCGCAACACTTATGGGCATCAGTGTTGCATGTTCTGAACGCAACAAGTTGATGAGGAGGCAACGCATAGACATAATTCACCCGAAACACGTCAACCCTGCACCCCAAACAATGGGTTCTGACCAAATCATCTGACTCCTTGAGCTACACTCAAATCACGCCATGCTCACTTTCCTTTCTGGTCGTATACAGGTTACCATTGACAAATACCTAGACCCTAAACAACTACAACCTGGCAAAGCTTCACAAGTCAGGTGGGGCTCGGTTCCCAAGCCGTACCGCGTTACCAGCACCTATTGGGTCGACCTCAACGTCGACAACATGAAGGCTGAGGTGTACTGAAGCTTGCCTATTTTTTGTTTTTCCCCTTGCCCAAGGAGTCTTCAAGTTTCTGCTTGAAGCTTGTCGATGCGTTTATTTTGCAGAATCGGCTTCCAAACCCGTACTGTTCCTGACCTGAGTTTCAGTTTGGGTTTAAGTTTTTAGGGTATAGGGTTTCCTGGCTTCAAGGAAGGGAATTTGGGCGCGGACGTAGGAGGTTTTAGCCTAAATCCCAAACGCATGGCTGAACCCAAGCCCGGACGAATCCCAAGCTGCCAAGCACAAGTTACATGCCGAAAGCTGTAAATCCATTGGCCTTTCTCAGCGCTGCCAGCTTTAACTTAAACTCCTAACCCCCGGGTGTTGGGTTTATTGTACTATGGGGGCCTTAATGATTAGAAGAGGGTTTTTGCGGTTTAGGATTTTGCGGTAGAGGTCTTAGGCATACTGCGGGTCTCAAGGTTTTGAACCCAGAGTCCCTGAACCAGGCAGCCTTTAACCACGAGATTCTAGGCAATGGTCCCTTCACTGTGGCTTTCGAAGTCTACGACAACTTCTTTGGCTACTCAAGCGGAGCCACTGCCTCACCGGGGGTCACTTCTTCTGGTGAGTTCCCAGCTCGCTTGGTACCTTTGGGGGACTTCATGCACTAAAGTCTCGGACCTTTTTGAAGCCTGAAGACCCAAATGCCCCATTCATGTTTGATTTGGCTTCCAAGGTTGCCGGGGTTGCAGGTTTTGGCTTAGAGGTTGCATCTTTCCAGTCGAAGCCGAACCCTTAAAGCCCTACCTAGCACCAGACCGTAAACCCGACAACCGAAAGCCCCTCAACCCTCAACTCCAAACCCTCCCCAAGCCCCAAACACGGAACGGCAGGAGGGCATGACACCCGTGCGAAACCTCTTGCATGAAACTCGACGTGGAGACCCCACACTCCGATTCCTGCGCCCTCGCCCAAACCCCTAGCCAGATATACATCATGCAGTCTACTCTGATTCGTCATAAGATGCGACTTGCAAGCGGTATGCAGCATGAATGAGTTCGGTATTGTCCTCTGACACATTACTAATTCATCAATTTTTTGGGGCAGGTTGCATGAACATACAGCATCACTGAGCAGTCCCGAACTTGTGTAAACCCGGGACCTTATCCGGTGGCGCGGCCAAGTAAACCAGGGCACTGACAGATGAAAGTGGCATCAGCCCACGTAGCACCTAGGTCAGAGACATTAATGGGTTACCAAAGCCTTCCTCGCTTTAAGGCAGCCCACTGCAGCGGTAATTAGCTGGGCTGCATTGGACCAGGGGTCTATACTATAATGGCCCCGTTGTGGGTTCTGTGCCGTAGGGTTCCGGGTGCAAGGTCTACAAGGAAGTCAGTGGAGGCATTGCCGGGGGCCATGCGGTGGTCTTGGTTGGCCACTCCACGGCAAGAAGCAGACTTAGCTAGGCTTTCCCCCACCCGGAATGTGATTGAATTTGGAGTACGCAAAACACTTAAACCCAAAACTTTAAGCCCCTAAGCCCTAAACCCCAAACCCTTAAGAAGCGAGCAAGTCATCCCAACTTCAAAAAGCCCTAAACCCAAAGTCGATACTGTTTGTATACTTGGAGCCTTTGGGGTATGGCATTCAGGATTTTGCGATGGGTTTTCGGTGCGGAGGATAGGTTTGCAACTGCAGAGTTTGGGCTCCGGTGGGGTTTGCGCGGCTTTGAGGATGGCACTTAGGATGGACCGGCTGTATCCTTTCCGCTTCCCAGATCCCTGCACCATCATGCCCCCTAAACCCAGAAAGCCCATAGAGTTTGGGGTTTGCTGAATGTCTTCCCCTACATCCTAAACCCTAAACCGCGGCTGAGGATATGGCACTTCGGGGTCCGACGACTACTGGGAGCTGATGAACAGATGCTTAGCTGCCACAAGTGTCTCCAACTTTCGGGAGTCTAGGTCAACATTTCGAGTGTAGGATTAGGTGTTCGGGGTTTAGGGGTAAAGGTCTAACCCCGAATAACCTACCTTTTTAAGGACATATATAAGGAAATCATAATAAGGAACCCTAAAAAGGTAGGTTATTCCGGCTTAAGGTAGGTTTAAGGTTGCTGCGGCTACTTCAGGGTTAGGGCCGAGGCTGAGGCTTTGAGCCCGATGTTTTGGTGTTGTCGATCTTTGGGCTCTCGGGGCTGAAGGCCTTCCATCGGCTTCTGTGGAGGGCTTGGGAGACCACCCCGGGGTCACGTTCCACAGCACAAGAATCAACAGAACCCATAGTCCGAGCGGAACAAACGAAGATTCTATGCCCCAAAAGCATCTTCCGTGAACCCTAACCCTAAGACTCCAAGTATACAAACAGTACCTACTTTGGGGTCTAGAGTCTATAAATACTACCTACTTTGGGCTATTTGGAGTCTTAGGGTAAAGCCTAAGGGCCCTACCTGAAATCCGACAACACTGAGACCCTACAGCACTTCAACACCCGAAACTTGAAAAAGCCTAAGCCCAGGAAGCCCCCCAAGTACCCTTTAAAGGGCTCTGATATTTGTCATTAATTAGGAGGTAATAAGGGGCTACAAGAAGGGGTGAAGCCTTCCAAGCCCGAAACAACTTCAACGAGCATAGTATCCTTTAGACCCCGTGAAAGACAGAGCCTCAAAGAGCCGGTTCAATTCCTAGGAACCCTACGGTTGATGATAGAAATCCTGCACTACCTAAATGACCCTAGACTATGGGAAGTGTGGTATATTCCTGGTTATGGGTAATGCAGGATTTATATCATGAACCCTAGGAAGCCTTCTTCTGGCCAAGACACTCCCGATCTCCGCATGCTCCGATTTTCAAGACCGGGCTGGGATCCCTTTCGCCGTATCATACTCTGAACCGCACGGTTTCCATGAGTCCTCCGAACTGCGAAATTAGGTTCTGGAAGTTAATACGGGTTTTATAGGGCTCTAGAAGGGGGTTCTCTAGGGCGTCCTTCTTTGGAATTGACTCCCGGTGAACGCTTACTTGTGTTTGGGGGAACTACTCTGCTCGGTTCAGTTCTTGTTTTATAAGAGTCTACCAGGGTATCTTAAGGGTACTTGGAAAAGGTTCAATGTCTTAGTTGAACCTTGTAAACCTCAGCTCTCCGCTCACCCCAAGCCGTATTTAATAACACACCCGTAAGCACCAGGGTCTGAATAAATGGTAATAGTCCCCTGCCCCCATGCAATACCATGATTACCGAAAGATCATGTTCTAGTTATCACGGCCCCTGCCATGTCTAGTTTGATATTGGGGATTGTAATTTTGGGGTTTAGGGGTTACGTGTAAAGAACGCTGAGCCACCTCAAAAACCTCCACACCCCGGAACCAGAAGCCTCTAAACTCCAAACCACTAGCTTCTAGACTTTGAGCCCTCAGCCCTTATTACCTATAAACCCTTTGAGCCCAATCAACACCAAACCCCACTCACGGATTTCCACACCCCTGCACCAAACCCTCTTCACCACAAACCTTCGGATGGATACCCTCTAGGTCAAAAGCAAAACTCCCAGATTTTAAACCTTAAGCCACGAAACCCTTAGACCTATTCTGTGGGCCTTAATGACTAGAATAGGTTTTTGGTTCCCATCATACTATAATTCTAACAAGGAGCCCCCCATTATTTAGGCCCCCGAAAGTAAAGCTTCAGCTCAGGCTGGGGCAACGGTTGGGGCGATGGCGGCCGCTTGAGTGAAGCCTTGAGGAGCTAGGTCCTGCTAAAGGCGGCTCTTGGAAGGGTTTAGGGTTTAGGGTGCAGCGTTTCGGATTTAGGGTTTAAGGTTTAGGGTTCAGGGTTTAGGGTTGAGGAGGAGCAGGAGGAGGGTGTCTGTGGGGGTTCGTAGTGCATGGTAGAGGGCTTTTTCAAGGCTCAGCCCTCCAGACTCCAATCCAAACCCGATACCCAAAGACCAACACCCTGGGCCCTAACGCTTCAACTCCAGACCCGAAACCCGAACTCCTCCTCCTCAACCCTAAACCCTGAACCCTAAACCTTAAACCCTAAATCCTAAGCCTACACCCTAAACCCTAAACTCTACCAGTCTTCTAGTCGCATTACATCTCCGAACCTTGAACCCTCAAGACCTACGACACCCGTACGAGGAGCCCTGTCAGGGAATCCCTTCAAGGGTTCTACAAGGTTTCCTTTCATGGGTTGTCAGCGACTTCGAAGATTCCATTAAGGATACTATAAGCTACGAGGGTTCAGGCTTTAGGATTTGTGGTTTAGGGCTTAGGGTAGCGCTTAGGCCTTATGGCTTTGGGTAAGGTTTTGGGTTTAGGAAACCCCAAGGGTCTGAGTACCCAATAATCATATACTCTCCAAAATCCTAACCTACATAACTAATATCCTAAAACCGAGTACCTAATTATTGGGTCCTTTGGACCCTTGGGGAAAGTCCGCAAGCTTTGAGGCTTCTTCAAGATGCTGCGCGGAGTCAACCTTGCCTCGATCGAGCCGTCAACCTACTACAGGGGTCTGGGTAGGGTTCGGGGTTTTAGGGTTTAGGGTTTTAGGGTTTTAGGGTTCAGGGTTTAGGCTAGGACCCAGAATAAGCCTTTGTTCCCTTTTTTGGGGCTTCAGGTTCCCTTATAACACCCTTTATACCAACAAGAGCACCCTTTTTATTCCTAGGTTGCTCTTCGGTCTAGTAGGTGTCTAGGGTTTCGGCCTGGTTTAGGGTTTAAGGCGCAAGATTTAGACCCGTAATGTCCCCTGTTGTTCCCTTCATGCAACTATACCATAAGATGCAGTGGCAACTTACACCCTGTAGACTTCTTATGATCTGTCTATGCTGTTATTATTGTATACTGTACACTCCGTAACATACATACCTATGTAGCTGTTTTTTGATTGTTAAGGCTCGTTTATTGGACTTTCTGGGTTTTGCTTGGCACAGTTACGGTTTGTTTGAGAAGTTTCCTTTAAGGGATCCTCAAAGAGATCCTTAAAGGGACCCTTCAAGGGTTCCTCTAAGGGTTACCAAAAGGGTCCTCACATGGGTTCTCTGCTGCTTTTGCAGTTTAGGCGGGAGGTGCTGCTGTTGGCCGTCATGGAGCTAAGATGTTGGTCGACTCATCGGCCCCACGCATGTCCGGCCGAAGTTTAGGGGATTTAGGGTGTAGGGTTTAGGCCGTTGTGGTGTTTTTAGGGCTCAGGTTTGTAAGATGGATCATGCTGAGTCAACACCCCATTCCCAAACGTGAACTGTAACTTGAGCGCAGCGTCCTGTTGTGACCCTTCCGCCTGCCTTGGTAAGTCAACAGGGAGCCGTGTAATTTCGGCCTCTTTGTCGTCCCTGATATCCTCACCCTTATACGAAACTCTGCCCATGGCTGCTAGACCGAGGCCTAAACCATAAACCATAAGCCCTCCTGTCCTAGCCACAAGTCAGGGCTCTTCATCCGTCCGGTGTTTATATCGTAGTTTGTTAGTTCGATGGTTTAGGATGCCTGTAACAAGAAAACTTTGAAGCCCTCAGTCAAGCTGTAAGCCTGAAGCCTATTCGCCTAAAAACCCTCAGCCCGAAACCCTAAACCCTTAATCCGCGTTGTCCCGCTCTTCAAAGGTCGTGGGGCAGCTCAGCCGCCCATGTGGAGAAGACACAGGGGTCTGGGTACTCAGATATCTCGAGACAGCCCGGTACCGGCTTATGTAGCTTAGGCATAAATGTGTGTATGTATGTACGTAGGTAATGTACGTATTTACGTATGCACACATACATATGTATGTATGTATGTATGCAGCACTGTATGCATGCATGCATGCATGCATGAATGTGTGTATGTCTGCCTGTCTGTCTGTCTGACTGTATGTATGTATGCATGTATGTATGTATGTATGTATGTTTTCGTTTGAACCCTTGAGCTACATAGGGCTTCTTAGCTTGGGTCAATAAGGAATCTTCGTGCTTCCTGGGTGCATGATGGCAGGGTCGAGCGTGATCGGGTTCAGGTTTAGGGGTTCTAGGGTTGGGCTTTCGGCTGGATTTGGCCACCGCTGGATGCTCGTCCATCTCGTTTCTTCGCATTGGGTTTTAAGGTAACTATACTTCTGTTTACTTTTAACCCCAATTAAGGTACTTGTAACCTTACTTCCTAAGTCCCATGAACCTCCAAGTAGGCTCCATCCATTAGACGACCTTGTTGGGTATGTTGTAGCAGAACTATACGGGAACTACTGGGGGATACTATACCTAAGTCTTCGGACCTCTTTAGTAGGTGTCTGAATCACTGGGGGGGCAGAGGGTCGAAGTGATTTGGCTTTTCTTTCTCCAAGGGCCTTGGCCTAAAGCTTGAGGCCTCCGTGGCCCCAAATTTGCCCTCCAACGAGACCACACGGAAGCATTTCAGAGTCGAAAGAAGGCGACACCCGTGCCTGCCGAAGCGCCGAAAATTCCCACAAAAGTGTGAAGAACCCGAAGCAAGACAAGCCCTGCATAGTTTCGTAGCAGAGGTCCTGGGTCTACGACGAATGGAGTGGATGCGTGCCTGAAGGGGGCCCACCTGCTGGCCAGGCCGCTCGGCAAAGCCCCTACTCCCCCGACCCGAGACTTCCGCAACACTGAAATCTACACAAGTCCTAAGGCCCTAGGCTTAAGTAGTGGACTAGGCTTAAGTAGTGGACAAGGTCACTTCAACTTTAACATAAAAAGATTAATTAGGTAATCCCAGAGCCAAGAAGAAGCTGCAGTGATATTACAGCTTACATCCCAGACTCGGTAGCTCTAATGCCCGAGAAACCTCAAGTCAGCCGTTCTATAGTTTATAGCTTTACAACCCTAAACCCAAGTATGCGCAATCAACGAACCTTGGACGTAGAAGCTAAGAGACCAAACCTTTTAAACTTTCAACATTTCAGGGTCACATCAGGGTTGAAGATCATTCAGGCGCCTGAATACTCACTAATTATCGCAAAGCTATTGCTTTGTGTGTTGCGGGCCCACATACCATGCCAGAAGCATTCGTGCCATGCACACAAATCTCGACTCTATCACATCGCGTTGCAGGGTCTTGCTGTCGGCTTTTGCTTTTCTCACCCGATTGGGGTTGCTGTGGGGGGACCTTCAAAACTGGAATAGGATTTGGGGGCACATTTTAGTAAACTTATAATGACGACCCCTATAAGGAATACCATTTGTGTTTATCCAGAGCCCTACATTACTACGTATCTTCATGCGTAGAGCAGGCACCTGGCCCAGTACTTGCTCCATGATGCGCAGTCAAATTTGAAGTTCGGACAACGAGCATAGTTCAGTCTACGAGCCCGTGCAGTTGAGGCCAGTTCGTGTAGGGTTTAGGGTTTAGGGGTTCAGGGGTCTAGGGTTTAGGGTTTAGGGGTCTAGGGTTTAGGGGTTTAGGGTTTAGGGTTTAGGGGTTTAGGGTGGCGCCAAACTGCTCAGTGGAGACTCGTTTGACAGTCTCCATGGTGTACAAAAGGTGTCATTACCGACTCCCAGCGGCCTTCGTGGCCTCCGAAAATGACACAGGGGGCTGAAGAATTACGTAATACTATTTTGGGGGCTCCTTATTACAACTGTAGTATAATATATTCCCCCAAACCCTATTCTAAATATTATGGTCCCTACATTACTGCCTCAACTGCCGAAAACAAAGCCCCGTGAAGGGCTGCAGAGGATGCCCCGACATCACAAGCAGATACATGTCGCGACCAAGCCGTTCAAATCCCGGGACCCTGCTCAGGCAAAACTCTGAAGTCAAGTCAAGCTCTAAACCCAGAACCCGGATCCCTCATCCCCAAATCAACCCTGAAAGACAGTAGGTTCGCGCTAGGCCCCTAACCTAAACCCTAGACGCGTTGAGGGTGCATGGGGTCCACCGCCTCATAAGCCCCGGAACTCGCATAGACCTTGTATCCAGGATCCCTTTCCTATATTTCGGGGGAACATTGCATAGTTGAGGGGTTTTGGTGTCTTGCTGCCAACCCTGAACCCTTAAATCCCGAAAACCCTATAAGCTCTGAACTCTAAAAGTCCCGAAAACCCACACCCTGAACCCCAAAATCCCGAAAACCCTGAACCCGAAACCCCCAAATCCAGAAAACCTTGAACCCTGAGCCTTAAACCCAGAAAATCCGACAGTAGAAGTCTTGACAGCCAAGGGGCTCACTGGAGAGTTCTTCTACTTTTCGCAAGGAGACTGTCCAGGGTTGCATGGTTTCCGGGTGCAGGGTTTCGGTTTTAAGGTTAAGGTTGCAGGGGTTTGGGCTTTAGGGTTTTGGTTGCAACGAGGGGTTTTAGGGTCTAACTTAGGGTGTAGGTTTTACGGTTTGGGGGTTTAGGGACAGGTTTTAGGGTTTGGTTTTTGGGGGCTTGGCCTTTAGGGTTTAGGTCTGACATGTCAGGGTGCAAGGATGAGGTTTTAACTTGTAACTACCTAATTTAAAATGGCTTCGATCGGACATGTTCCAGAATTTGACCGAAATTCAAAACTCACTACGATTCCAACCACGCAAGCCCCTAAACTCTAAACCCTGATCCCTAAGATTCCAAGCCGTCGTAGAGCGCTCCAACCTTGCAGCCCTTATCGCTACTTGCAGGAAGACCCCAATTGGGATCATGATACTTATAATGCATAGGTCAGAGATGACACCTTCTGAATTTTTCCTGGGTTTTAGGATTCAGGATGATTTAGAACTATTCGTGGTTTACGGTCGTTTAACTACCATAGACCCCCCCCGCCCACACCAACAACTTCCTGAATCCTGAACCCTAAATCCTTCGATCCCAGTCCCGAAGAGCTCTAAGCTCTGAGCCCGAAAGCCCGAATTCCCGAGAGTCCTACACCCCAAATCCTGGGTTTCGGGGTTTGGGGAATTTTTAGGGTTCAGGGTTTCGGGCTTTGGGTTTATAGTGAACCCCAGAAAGTTGGAACATCGATTCCGGAAGATGTGTGCAGGGATTCTCTTCATTT